TGATTATTTGAACGTTTACTCTGAATCAGTTGAGGTGAATGCAAAACTGCGGTTCCTCATTTAAATGTTTAAAAAAACTTAATCAAATGATAGCCATGTGACTCACACGCTTGCAAGGCCGATAGTTGGACGCTCTTTCCGGGTCCATCCAAAGACCAATCACGGTCTCCTTTCTTGAGGATGGTACTATATGGGTATGGACCTCTAACTGATGTCATATGTAATGCTATGGTCACATTACCCAAAAGTAGACTGCTCGGCGGCCGAGCGGCGAGTTTTTAACCAATTCTGCCCGGCGGCTGCCCAGCCACCGAGCGGCTGCCGTCTAGGCACCGCTCGTTTTTAGGGCATCGCTCGGTCGCCGCTGAAGTTTTAGCGCGGAGTTAAAATTTGGGCGGCGCCTGCTCACTTTTCACTCGCCGCCCAAAATACGCTCGGTGCCTGGGCGGTCGCCGCCCGGGCACCGACCTAATCGCTGGGCGATGCCTAATTCCAGCAGCGACCGAGCAGGCTACTGATCGGTCGGTCGCTGCTCTGATTTGTGACCATAGCTTTAGTGCAGAGTAGGACTGTTAATAAATGAGAAAGTTTACCACTGGTAAAAATAGCAAAAGTGACCTCTAATTGATGCCATAAAGTAGGTGGAACGTAGGACTACTAGTCAAAATCAAAATATACGATAATTGTTATTTCGTTCAGAGGTCTAGGTACCATTTTCAAAAGACAGGAATTAAGGTAAATACACATTTTTAGAGATTGTTTAAAATAATTTCTAACCCTGTTCAAATATCTGACCCCGCCCACTGTTCTCTAACCCACCCCTTCCTATATTCTGACCCTCTTTAATTCTACGATTCTGTTTTTTGGTCTCCGACACTTCTTTCTCTCTCCATGTCTGTGCTTTCCCGTCATGTCTGCAAATTAACACCCACCGCCGCCCTTCCTCTCACTCTTTCTTTCCCCCTCCCATCCCTTTCTATCTTTCAGCCTTTCTCTCTCTCATGCTCTCTCCATTTAACGCCCCCCCCCCTCTCTCTCTCTCTCTCTCTCTCTAACTCTCTGTCCCTCTTCCTCTATTTCAATTTCTCTCTCTCTCTGTCTCCGTCCCTTCTTCCATCTCAATCTCTCTCCATCCCTTTTCTCTCCCCCTATGTCATCCATTTCTACCTTTCCGCCTTTCTCTCCCTCATGCTCTCTCCAGTCAACGCCCCCTCTCTCTCTAACTCTCTGCCCCTCTTCTTCTATTTCAATTTCTCTCTCTCTCTCTCTCTGTCTCCGTCCCTAACTTCCATCTCAATGTGTCACTCTCCGTGCCTTTCCTCTATTTCAATATCTCTCTCTATCTCTCTCTTTCTATCCATCCTTCACCTCTCCCTCTCCCTATCTTCATTTCTCTCTGTGAAGCATACTTTCTCCTTGATTTTAAACGTATAATAAATCACCCATGTACAAATCAAATCTTGTTAAAGCCTCTCTAAAGTGTTGGGAGCCCCCAAAAATTGATGGCAAAAATTATCTTCAATCGTATAATGAAGAAAGTGAAAGAGGATGTCATTTAACACTGACTTCTGCAAGAATTTTCAGGAAATTATCAAAATAGTTCATTACGAGTGATACCCCACCCCTTAAAGCAAAACAAGGCCCTAAAACAGGTGGATTCTTGAAAGTATAAACTTGTGAAATATTGTTTCTCCCGAGGTCAAGGTCTGGACATGCGATCGATAGACAATCCATCTTTTTCTGAATAGTAATTGAATATAAATGCCACTCATTGTTTACTGTACAAAATCACAGTACTGAATAAAGGTGCAGCAACTTAATTTGGGCTAAGTCATAATTATAATAAAGATATCAACTGCCTGTTGCTACGATAAATATATGAGCTACATTTTATTTGTAATGCTGTGTTACAAAATAGATAAACTTATGCATCAAATGAAAAAGTGGGAATCGGACCCATCTTTACATCATCAGTCCAAGACGTATCATCTATTCACAGATCTCACATACATGTAGATCTCTATGTTTATATCAGGTGTCTCAATTTTAAAACAGAGAATTTGATGTAATAAATTTATTATTTGAAAGAAAAGACAAGACACTTTTAGAGCAGAAGTGAGATTTTCAGAAGAAAATAATGAAGAAAAGAAGAAGAAGAGGACGAAAAAAAAAGAAGAAGATGAGGAAGTAGACGAATAAGAAGAAGAAAAGATAGAAGTAAAAGAACAAGAAGAAGAAGAAAGAAAAAAAGTAGGAGGAAAAGAACAAAAACAAGAACAAGCAAGATCAACAATAAAAGCAAGTAGCAGCAACAGCAGCCGCATGTATTAGCAGTATAGTTTTAGTAATAACGCTGATGCAGATAATGCTGATAATGATTAAATGATAATTGCAATAATAATAGTAATAACAATGATACTAATAATAATGATGGTGATGATGATGATAATGATGATGATGATTGGCTTTAGTTTTACTTTAAGTCTTGAGGCTTACCTTAAGGATTTAGGTAGAACTGAGACTTATCGCCTGTAATGTAAACTGTACTTTTGAACGATTTGCATTTCCCCTATCCAACTAATATATTATAATTAAGCACACAAAGAATTATACATGAACATATCATATCGCCACTTCTTTACCCATTAAGTTGCCTCATTCAATATTATTTAAACTGTACAATATATCAAATCATTTCATACCAAAAATTGTGATATTGTAATCATAAAACAATGGACAAAACGCAATCAGCTGTTTATAATTGCTTTATTTTTTTCCCAGAAAAGAAAAACAAGTAGTATTCAACAAGTACAATTGAAAAGGCATAACTATGTGGAATATCAATACAAAGACAATACATTGTTACGTAGTAATAACAACAATGATACCATTCCGTTTTATATGGCGCATATCACATTACAATATTCCGTTTCTATGCGATTCCAAGTGCTAAGAAAATTACCTTGTAAAAGTATCCCGGCATTACCTACGCAACCGTTATAGGCTCACACTTATGTGTTCGAATAAAAGAATTTTACAAGTCAATACCCATTTATCATTTGACAAAATATAATAGAGTATAATCATAACAGTTAAATGTAAAATAACGAAAGACGAGGAGACCTTGGTTGAAGCACAGCTTGTTAATATGTTAAGGCCTCCTCATGTGATGTGACAAAGATAACTGATTCATGAATACAACAACAAATATGGAATATATAAAACTATTTACAAAACACTCTCAGAGAACAACTACCAACTTGCCATGGGTGTAGAGTGGCAAATGTAGACTTTATGTCCTGCCAAAGAGGACACAATGGAAGATACTCAAGTTCAACCACTTAAAAGAATCATGGTTTTCTATGGGGAGAGATGGCGCTCGATTTTCCGACGGCTCATTTTTCTGAAAGTTCGTAATTCCTAAGCTTCATAATTGGGAAATTAAACAAGGTTAATAATTCTGGAAATGAAAAATAAAGCGTTCATGATTCCAAATATTACATGTGGTTCTAAACTTCTATCGCCTTTCAGGAATTATGAACCAGTCCTCCGGAATTGTGTGCCCCCTTTCATTTTTCGGAATTACGAAACTTTGGAGCAACGAACCTTGGGAAAAACGAACCTTCGGAATGAATTTAAGGAATTATGAGAATTCTGAAATATGAACCTTCGTTACAAATATTTAAAAAACGACATGAAATCGTTTTTCTCATACATATACCATGTTCATAGTATCAAGTATCAAGTATCAAATTTATTTGTCTTCCAGAAAAACACATGTGAAAAAATATGATAGAGTATAATCATAACAGTACAATGTAGAATAAAGAAAGACGAGGAGGCCTTGGTTGAAGCACAGCTTGTTAATATGTTAAGGCCCCCTCATGTGATGTGACAAAGATAACTGATTCATGAATACAACAACAAATATGGTATATATAAAACCATTTACAAAATACTCTCAGAGAACAACTACCCAACGATGCATCGACCACAGCATGGATGACTACAACAAGCATACCCGAAGTTGCGCACATCCCCATCACACCGGGTGAGCTAACAAACTCAACGTATGTGCGAAAATATGTATCACTTGAGCAAAAATCAACCCGCCCATGAGAGGGTGATCTAATATGGACTAACCCAAGCTGACAACAAATCGAGACATCAATGAGTTATTGCTCTCTGAGTGCGGAGGTCAAGTAGGAATATATGGTATATGTACAGATTGGAAAGAAAAAGAAAAAAGGAAAAGGGATCAAGGGTATTATGTCAAAGTCAATAAACAACGAAAAATAGATCGAGAGTAGAGTTAAATATGCTACAGTACACACAAAATGAAGCTTGATAACACAATCATGTGTCATCGACATACTTGTGAATATGAGCCTTCGTTAAAAATAAAATAAAAAACGACATAATCGTTTTCCTTATACATGTACTATGTTCATAGTAACGTCGAGAGAGGCAAGTATTGATCAAATGCCTAGTCAAATGCCAGTGTACGCATCCGGCAAAGATTCGAACCCTCAACCTCCCGATTCAAAGTCAAGGACATGAACCATGAACCATACACATTAAAATTGTTAAAGGAGAAAGTGTACATTCACCACACTCTAATTTCAGATTACTCTCTATAAATAAGTTATACAAATCTAATTTTCCCAGTATTGATAAACATCACCTGACTTTAACATAAAAACAAAGCAACGAGTGCAGCACGAATGTATTAGACTACATATAGTAATTTTTTTTTTTTTTTTATATATGTTATAATTATTTTTCTATCACCACAAATATGAAACATTTAAGATATAATTTCTATATTAGAGAATACAAACAAAAAGGAAAGGGGGATTTGACGTGTTTGGAAACCAGCAGACCTACACACAAAAAAACAGTACAGGGGCGTTTAGTAGGCCCCGGAATACATCATTATTTCATCTGATTTATTTCATCTATAAAAATGCACATATACCTTGTAAGGGATATGTAAAAAAAAAAAAAAAAAAAAAACATTTGGACTTTGATAGAAAAAAAATCTGTATTATCTCGTATATTTCGGATTAAATTCCAGATGTTTTGACATATTTACGTACTGTTGAGAGGACCAAACCCCATTACCGTAATAGAAAAAGCAATACGTTGTAATAATGTCAGTATTGAAGGGAAAAACAAACCTGACCAAGTTTCATCATTGTAGCTCATGTGAATTGGGTAAACTAGTTTGATATGTTCTATTCAATGTCTATCGAACAGCGTGAAAAAAAATTATCATTCAAGTTATGGTTCGGTATTTTGAGCCAATTAGAGATCTGCCACATTTTCACGTGGTAAATAGAGAGGTTTAATATACACATGTATCCCGTTTCCCGTATTCAATATCTTTTTCATGACTTTGAAGAACAAATCTCTCCAATGAAGTAGATGCAAGGGGCACGATGTATACAACGAACAAAACGTGCCTCGTTCCCCCTCGTTGGTAGCCTCGACAATTTATACTTCATCCATCTAATAAAATTACTGACAATCCCAGTAATGCCAGAGGCCCCCGCTACACCACTGCCTTACTGAATGATTATATTCTTGTCTAGCTATCTCTTCGTGGTGCTATGTCTTGAGGGTATCGAGTCCATTTGTATTGTCCTGACCTGAACGTTGGAGAAGAGAACAAGATTACATAAATATATGTACAAAGTATAAAACGGTGCTTTCCACGCCTTGGAAATGAGTTGAGTGAATTAGTCATGCTTGCACAGTCGATTTGAGAAAAAATGGAACTTTGTGTAACATTTCTGTACAAAACAATGAGAGTGTAACTCGGAAAACAGCAAATCAAGACGGAAACATTTTTGCGCAGACCAATTTTCACGAGCTTTTCGAAATTAGGCAGTGCTCACTCAGGCATAAAATTGTAGCAATACTTTTAGTGCTATCCGTTTGAAAAGACCCTCACCCATAATTAAGCATACACATCGCACACAAAATCGTATAGTGCTCTTGCAAAAAAAAAGTTGGTCTTAATTTTGAAATAGGTACTTCTGCAAATGATTTATATATATATATATATATATATATATATATATATACATATATATGGGAGTGAATAAAATGGTCTAGGAACGTGAGACGTAGCTGTATTTTACGATTTTATTACGAGTTTTCGGCTTGTGAGGCCTTCTTCAGTACAGCTACGTCTCACGTTCCTAGACCATTTTCTTCACGCCTACATATTCCGGACCACCCGTTGTCATGTCAGAGTTGAGAATGGGAAGGCGTGTCTGTTTTTTTGTTATAAAGGTGAGAAACTCATGAGCCACTGAACACTGGCGTTCTGATGGGGGGGGGGGGGTGTATTTTTTATTTGATACAAGTGATTTACAAATGTTGCTGAAATGACATGATTTTCCGGTACGTTTTTTTTCTCTATTTTTTTGTAAGTCATACCTTTTTATGCGTTTGTAGGAAAATTATAATTCCCAAATTAACAGTCGGGCGAAAAATATGCTTATTTAGAAACCTTTATGTCAGGGTCTGCAAAACGGCCAGGCTCGGGGGCTCGAGCCCCTCTCACTTTTTGAAAAAGTTTGTTACAGAGAAAAAAAAAGAAAGAGAGAGAGAAAAAAATAAGTGACCTGCCAATGTTACAAATGAGGTATCGAAATATGCTCATCTGACCGTAATTAAATGCCTAAAACCCCAGAGCTTACGGGGGCTCCGCCCCGGACCCCACCAAGGGCCCTAAGGCAGTCCCCTGTATGCTCATCTGACCGTTATTAAATACTTATAAACCCCGAGCTTCCGGGGGCTCTGGACCCAACCAAGGGCCCTAAGACTGGACCCTGGATGCTCATCTGACAGTAATTAAATGCCTAAAACCCCAGAGCTTACGGAGGCTTGGCCCCCGGACCCAACAAAAGGCCCAAAGGCGGTCCCCTGTATGCTCATCTGACCGTTATTAAATACCTAAAACCCCTGAGCTTCCGGGGGCTGTGACCGCACCAAGGGCCCTAAGGCGGGGCTCTGGATGTTCATCTGACCGTAATTGAATGCCTAAAACCTCTGAGCTTCCGGGGGCTGTGCTCGCTGGACCACACCAAGGGCCCTAAGGCGGGGCTCTGGATGCTCATCTGACTGTAATTGAATGCCTAAAACCCCAGAGCTTTTAGGGGCTCCGCCCCCCGGACCCCACCAAGGGCCCCTGTATGCTCATCTATATGCCTAAAACCCCTGAGCTTCCGGGGGCTGTGCTCGCTGGACCACACCAAGGGCCCTAAGGCGGGGCTCTGGATGCTTATCTGACTGTAATTGAATGCCTAAAACCCCAGAGCTTATGGGGGCTCCGCCCCAGGACCCCACCAAGGGCCCAAAGGCTGTCCCCTGTATGCTCATCTGACCGTTATTAAATACCTAAATCTCCTGAGCTTCCGGGGCTCTGCCCCCTGGACCCCACCAAGGGCCCTAAGGCGGGGCTCTGGATGCTTATCTGACCGTTATTGAATACCTAAAAAAAAACGAACTTCTGGGGACTCTGTTCCCTGGATTCTTCGCCAATAAGCGGCCTGCCAGTGTCACAAATAAGGTATTTTAATATGCTTCTCTGACCATAATTTTAATGCCTAAAAACCCATGAGCTTCTGAGGGCTCAGCCCCTTGAACCCCTGCCGGGCCGCGACTTTGCGTTTTACACCCTGGCCTGGACCTTTTCCCAATAAATTTCAAGGAACCGACTGGGAAAAGTCTATCCATGACAAGATATTGCGCGCGCACGTAGCTCTTCTGCAATGCTCAACGTACGTCCTATATGTCCAGTGTCGCGGTACGCGGTACATGTACTTTTGTATTGAGACGTACGAGTGAGAGAAAAACAACGAATAACAACAGAAGGAAATAGAGAAAAACAATAAATAATTAAAGAACAGAGAGAAAACAAAGAATGTCATAAGCAGAGAGAGAAAACAAAAACTAACTTGAAAGAAAGAGAGAAATTAGAGAAGGAATTAATCAAAGTAAGGAAAGAGAGAAACCAAATAATATTATGGTTTTTGTGGTTTAATTCCGCCTTCTTCAGGGTTTCAATTTTTGACGTGTAGCCTACTTTCAAACCATTTGCTGATTCGGACCCCCCCCCCTAACACACGTGTACACATATCGACACATACACAGACTACACTCGACATAATATGTGTAATGGTAATGTAATACATAAACTGTGATTTAAATATTGCACTCGTACCATTTTCTATTATTGTGGGATCACGTCTTTCATTTTTTAAATTCATGTCATTTGTTTCTAAGACCTAATTTCTCTAATTCTCTTGACCCCTCTCCCTTCATATTTGTTTTCTAAGACCTCCCCCCCCCCCCCCCCATCTCTATTCATATTTGTTTTCTAAGACCTCTCTCTCTCGACCCACTCTCTCTCTCGTATGTATTTCTCAGACCCCTCTTTCTTTCTCTCTCATTAACCCCCTCTTCATATTTGTTTCTAAGGCCTCTCTCTCTCTCTCCATATTTGTTTCTAAGACCCCCCCCCCCCTCTCTTTCTCATTTCTTGATATTTGTTTCTAAGACCTCTCTCTCTCTAGCTCTCAATTCATGATATTTGTTTCTAAGACCCCCTCTCTTTCTCACTTCTTGAATTCATATTTGTTTCTAAGACCTCTGTCTCTCTCTCCCTTTCTCTCTTTCTCATTTTAAATTCATGATATTTGTTTATAAGACCTCTCTTTCTCTCTTTTTCCATTCATCACTTTGTCTAGTGTAATGTACAGACACATAACATATAAAGGAAATTATACACCAGTTTTACATGAATTCATTTGCACTTTATTTACTGCTTTACATTCATATACTTTTTTTTTCGTGAAGGTAATCTAATCCTTCAATGTCAGAGAAGTAATACAAAAGATACAGGAGTATGCGTATGCATAAATAGTTATATAAAGAAGAAATATGTAGTAAAAGTGAAAGCAAACAATAGTAGAAATTTGAACAGATAATTTGACAGTGTGTTAAGATTTAGATGCAAGAAATGACTATAAGAAATTTTTATTTGAAAATACATGCACATGTAGATAAAAAGAGATCTGAACATAGGCGGATTCATGGGCGCAGAGGCGTGCACCGCACTTTACTTTGGAGATAACGAACTGAATACACATAATAATGGATGATACGTGAAAATATTTTTCTTCAGCGAGTAACAATATTTCACGTATTTCGCGAAAATTGATCATCCAATATTATAATTATTATTTAGATACTCCACAGAGATATTGTGATTTATTCACCATTTTTTATAATATACTAGATCTAGGCCTAGTACATGTACTTGTAAACTGCATCTTGGCAATTGAAGCTTGAAACGAGTGCAAATATGAAATTTCCCAAGCATTTATGTGGTGCTGGTGCACAACTAACATGAAAAGTTAAAAATGTTTGAATTTCAAGAAAACAGTAGGCCTACCGTAACACTAATATAATCATTTACCTGTACAAAGTCGAACATCTAGAATTTACATATCCCAATCCAAGTTGTTACTTGAAGTTATTGTGACGTTACAATTATTGAAAACGAAGTAGTTACTTGGATGGTGCAATTTCATATGGTGACGTCACGTTTAATATTCATACCCGCAAACAAAGGCGTCTGCATTGCCACTCCGTCATCATCCTCGATGAATTCCATCGTGCAGCAAGCTTCTTAACTTGTTGTTCTGAACTTGAAATCCTATATCTTCTCCCTTAATCTTCAGTATTGCAGCTGCGTACGGTGTGTATAAATGCTGCATCGACGTACGTCTGTGCATGTACGATTCGATTTGGAACTGGCGCGCCCGATCGAGGAGCGTAGACTAGACTCATTCAAGCAGTTTCATTGCTATTTACCGGGAAAATGTCCAGGCCAGGGTGTAAAACGCAAAGTCGCTGCCGGGCCAGGCCATGAGCCCAACGCCATTTTACGCTCTACCTAATCGTGAATAATCCACTTTGAAATTCGTTCCGCGGGGCCTGCAGGTAACGTGTAAGAGTGGTGGTGATGCAGATTTTTCTTCTGCCCCTACCCCTTCCAAACGTTTTTGCTCGTTACGTCACTGCCCCTGGAAGGTGAGCCCCCTGGAATGTTTGCCCCCCCCCCCATCCCAAACTGTTTCCGGCGCGCCTGCCCATGCCTAATGGATTCTTCCAATGCCCATCTCAAAGATGCATAATCCACAAACACATAACAAACACTTCCAATTTCAGAAGCACAGTGACTAACCAAGACTACCCCATAACCTCACACATCACATGCAAATCCAGTTGGGTGATATATCTCATCAACTGCACTCAATGCAACAAACAATATGTTGACAAAACAGAAACTACACTATACACACGCTTCAACAACACACGATCCTAAATAAAGAACTCCCATTTGGAAACACAACAAAAAAATACTACCATACACAGTACAATTCTACCTTCCATCCCACTCACTAGACAATGTTCAAATCACCGGAATCGAATTAATCCACAACAAATCACGCCACACAATCCTCCACAGAGAATCTTTTTGGATATCAAAAATGAAAACCCTACACCCAGATGGGATCAATGTTGATCAATAAGTCAATTAACACACCGACATATCAGACGCACGTAAACTTTTGATCACATGATCAAAAAACTGCCTCAACACAGATTTTCGATCTTAATTTTAATTTTATTTTTAGTCTTTGATTCTCACGTTTTATCCTTGCATTTGTTATACAATGTAGAGTCAACATACTGCAACCCATCGGACTGCGTACACTCCAATACATTTGAATGATGCCTTCTATCCTCCTCCCTCTCCCCTCCCTAGACACAGATCATGACACCGGCTGTGTCATAGATCAGTAACATCCGTGTCACATATCAGTACACGTTCACATATATCACATCAACTGAATAAACACATCGACAGCCCAACACGCAAGGTAAACACTTTGAAATTGCATGATCATTTCTAAGTTTATTTCGTAAGTATTTCTCGTACTAATGTTTGCAATGTTCATGATGCTTGACTATGATTGAGTGATATTAAGTTTGTATGCCATGTATATTTGTTCATACAATGTATTTGTTTTTGTATGTGTTTCCACTTCAGAACCTGAAGAAGGCCTCACAAGCCGAAAGCTCGTAAAAAATTGTAAAGTACAGCTACGTCTTACGTTCCGAGACCATTTTATTCACGCCTACATAATTTCTGGAACACCCGCTGTCATGTCAGAGTTGAGAATTCTCGCACTTATATATATATATAGTTTTATCATAACTTAATCACAATTATAATTAATAAATGACACATATTTATAAAGCTTAGATCCTCTTCTTTCATTTCATGGAACATCTTTCACGCATGAGTGATTAAAATCAATTTGAAGAGAGGGAACCGAAAAGTAATTTGGCGGACAGTATCTGAATTTCAGGGAGAAAATCCCATTTTTAGAAAGTTCAATTGCTGCCATTTCATATGACACTTCAATCAGCAAAAATGAACAAGGAATAACAAAGTTCTGTTTGTTTAAAATGATGCTTGCATTTCCATAATTGTATTAAACAAATTCGTTTTCACTGGCTGCCTGCCGTAGCAACAAACGATATTGGCAAAAAACTTAACTCCGTTTCGTTGACGATCAGCCATAGACGAAAGAGGGGTGATAGTATCCAAAGAGTATCCCTTAAGAGCGCACAGGGAGGTTCTATTATTATGTGATACGCGATTTACAAGAACGGAAAATTAATATTGTAAGTATAAGAGGGACACAAACCTGTTTGACAGTAATCCCCTTTGAAGCCTTCGGGACAGAAGCACTGGAAACCTCCATCGATGTCTGAACACGTGCCTCCATTATGACAAGGGTTACTCAGGCACTCGTTGATATCTGGAAAGTAGCATCGTTCATTTAGAGAAAGTAATGAAAATATTGATATTCTTTCACCTCAAAATGGCTATAATATTGTTATTAGTTTTGGGGGATTTGGTGGAGAAAAGCAACAAATTTGCAAAATACCTCGTGGATTTTATAACTTTCATGAAGTGATAAAGATCAATTTTGTTTTAATTGCTTATTTCGTTTGTTAATGAATTAACTCTCGTGCTTTTTCGTCAGAAAACTTCCCTTTTAAAACTATTTCAACGTATTTCGAGGTTAAAAGAGTTTTCCATGTTTGTTTTTATAGATTAATGAATAAGTTTATTGATGTTTTAAAGTTAGAAAAAGATACATATCTCACCTTCAGTCCTTTCTACTGTTAGATTCACCAAGAATCCTCTTCCCATAAACGAACCGACCACTCTTCGTTTCCTTCTACTGGAGTCCCCAGTATCCGACACAAATCTAAACCACAATTTTCGATTGGGGGAAGTAATATCTTCAGGCAATTCACTTCCAGTCAACTCCACTAGGATTGTGGTTATTAAAGGACTCGAGCCGTAGCCCACGGTAAGCGAAGAACCGTTGGTGAGGTTAAAGAAGTCGAAACGCGCCCTCACGCTGTAATCCTGAGGAGCCATTATCCGCCAAATCTCGTGCACGCTGTCGCTTGCATCAAAAGGAAAGTCTGGTGAGCGGAGCTGTTGGACCGTAGACTCGTTCACCAAGATTAGAGGATTGTCATCTGTTACAACAACAAAAAAGGATAACACTAAATGTGGCAGAAATACAGGCTTGTCTTTTTCCTACAAAAAAAGACATACGAGAATATATTAGGAAATTGTTTGTTTGTTGTGAAATAATTTTAAGATCATCTGATCATTCTGAAGATTCTTAAATCCCTAGAATTTCACCATGACACAAAGTTGGTTCTTATTACCTCTCGGATCCACAGCGTTCAGTGTTGCCATGAACCCAACGTCTGTACGTTCGTAATTACTGGAGAATTTTAGCCACATATGGCGGCTATGTGACGTCACAATCGACCTTAACCCATAGCCCGTGAGCCTCGCAAGCTCTGTGTAACTCAGTGGCGTCAGTCCATCGCCCACGAACAAGCAGTCGATGTTCGATTCGATAGCGAAGTCGACGATGCCCAGCCTGACGCTGTGGTTGACAGGGGCTGATACCTTCCAGACGATGTTATCACCGACGTTGTAGTTGGAAGGGTAATTTGGAGAAGTGATGTTCACTGGGACGGCACGCTCAAGGGTGATTTCAGTAACACCCGGTGTTATTGCTGAAAGAAATATAAATGTAACCAGAATACTTGTGATTTTTGTTTTAATCCAATGAATAACGCCAAAACATATGTTTGAGACCACAATTTCAAGACGGAAAATTTAACCTTGAAGTATAACTACTGTGAACTTATAATCTGAAGAATTCAGACTCCTATCGAAGGGCAAGTTGATTTACTAGCCAGAGGGCCACTTCACTTCACAACTGCTGCTCCCAAACTGTCAATACATTCAAAAATTATCTCAAAACTCTTCTTTGCTGTTAGCAATATACGGCACGCTCAAGGGTGATTTCAGTAACACCCTGTGATTTTGCTGAAAGAAATATAAATGTAACCAGAATACTTATGATTTGTTTTTAATGCAATAAATAACGCCAAAACATATTTTTGAGACCACAATTTCAAGACGGAAAATGTAACCTTGAAGTATGTCTAATGTGAACTTTAATCGGAATAATTCAGACTCCTATCGAAGGGCAGGTTGATTTGCTGGCCAGAGGGCCACCTCACTTCACAACTGCTGCTCCTAATCTGTCAATACATTCACAAATTATCTGAAAACTCTCTTTTTCTGTTAGCAATATAACTGTAAAGCGCATTCGAACATGTATATGAAAAATGCGTTATATACTAAATTAATGCTAAATATATTACTCATTGCGGATGTAGTATCGAAAATAATATCGCTAGTGATATTCGTTTGTCTCGCAATGTGGTCAATAAGGAATCTAAAAGATCACGACGTTTCGTGCGCTATCTGCCACAATTCGTTAGGTGATAAAAACTAATGTAAGCAAGGGTCTTTTAGAGGCTGTTCACACCGCAATGAGATAGCGCGGTCTATCGTAGCACCCTTTTTTTCTAGCGCGCGCTAGACCGCGCTATCTCTCGTGGACCACCCCCAAGAGGTGCTCCAGTGGCACGCCGTTTTGGCTCGCCGTGGCTCGCTGTTGGGCGGACCGAAACGACGTTGTACCTTCCAAACCGCAGAGATAGCGCGGTGTAGCTCTGCCGGTGTGAACAGCCTCTTATACTTTAAGGGAGGACCGGCGGAGCGGTCTATAATTCGATCGATAATTGGATAATTTCAACAGAGACAACGGGATCGATATCCCCGAATTTTGGATGCGGACGATACGCCGCCATGACACTCACCGTCCTGCCGGCCAACACCGGTCGATTCCATTCAGCAGACGGGCCGAGCCAGCGGCCCGTTGATTGGTTGAACACCGTATGCGTCGGCCAATAGGCCTGGTGCATTAGCCGAACCAGTGGCCGAACCAGAGGCCTGGTGATTGGTCGATCACCGTGTGCGTCGACCAATAGGCATTGTGCGTTATTGTTCCAATTATCGATCGAATTATAGACCGCTCCGCCGGTCCTCCCGTAAAGTATAAAAGACCCTTGCTTACATTAGTTTTTATCACCTGACGAAGTGTTGCAGATAGCGCACGAAACGTCGTGATCTTTTAGATTCCTTATTGACCACATTGCGAGACAAACGAATATCACTAGCGATATTATTTTCGATATAAATACATTATTAGTATTATTATTATTGTTATTATTATTATTATTTGTATTATTAGTAGTAGTATTATTCACGGTCAAAGGGGCCAGCTGGTTGATCAAATACAATAATGGGAAACAGAAGGCTTCAGAAAGCTACAATTGGCCTGTCGCACATACATTCCTTGGTTTAACCTTTAGCCAAAGTCCTCTCCATACAATCCAAAAATATTTCGAAGAATCAACAATATCATGTAGAAAATCATTTGATTACGTATTAAGTCATTAAAAGGCAAGCACATTTCAGTAGGTGGTGGACAAGGCTTTTGAAATTGCGTGTAATGTTTTGTTTGTTGCAACGACCTTCGTCATTGCCTTGTTTTCGTTCACATTCTGCCCCATTAATTGCAACTATGGCTTGGCAGACCCATACCTTTTTTGGGGGGATTTAGATACTTGAAGATATGCCCTTTCCAGCCATATACAAAATTATATACCCTATCACTGGCCAAATTTGATAAAATTGCCCTCCAAATTCGCCATTTTCAAGAAAATTCTGAAATAACTTCAACACATATATCCATATACGTAACAGCTGTCTACTAAGTTTTTTAAATTTTAATGCCATCTTCGCAAAGTTATCGCCAAAAATGATGAATTTACTATGCATTACGTAATAGCACGTTTCATGCGTGCAATACATTGAACGCAGATGACAATGGTGTCAAACTGACCGCAATGACGTGCCCTTTTGGATGATACCAAGTATGGTATATGTTCACACAGGAAATTGTGAATAAATCGCATTTGAACGATGGTCAATATACCAATTCTGCCGAGTTTCCGCCCGATTATAGCACGTTTCGGCTATGACGCATTTTATTCAGACTGCTTTTGGCCCCCAGAACGTTCTTTATTGCAATAACGAACATGCACCAAATCCCATTGCTTTTTGCACGCAGTGCTTGGGAGCCCTTTCTAGGTTCTTTCCCCTATATCCCAATTTCTTTCAAACTTCGTAGGCGTAGTCTTCCTTCTTCTTCATGTCGTCCGGAATCCTATTCGTTTTGCACGTAGAGCTTGTTATTCCTAGTTAGGTGCTTTCCTCATGTCCCTTTCCTTTCAAATTTCATAGGCATATTACTGTTTTCACACTGGCAATATTTTGCTTAACCCCGTACTATAGGTGGTGGGGGTTAAGGGGGTCTTAGCCCCACCTATAGTACGGGGTTAAGCCTATTCCACTTTCTGTTCAGACTGACTTTTACCAAAGTGGGCTAAAGTTGGCTAACCCCACCTATAGTACGGGGTAAACTAACCCTGCAAAATAGCAGGGCTAACTCCGCAATTGTGGTGCTAACTCCTGCTAACCCCGCAATTGCGGTGCCAAGCAAATGAATGAGAACAGAAACGAAAAATAGTACGGTACTACGCAATGGAGCGTATCGCAGCTGGCCAGATGCGAAGTATGTCCAATCATAACATTCACGATATCCGGGGTTAACGAATAGCAGTGAGAACAGCGCGACTTTTACTATTCCGGATTAGGCGCTAGTACGGGATTAAAAACAGCGTGTGTGAAAAGCCAAAAAAATAGTCCGGGGTTAAGGATAGTACGGGGCTAAGCAAAGTACGGGGTTAAGCAAAACCAGTGTGAAAAGAGTAATAGTCTCTAACATCTCATCAAGTCACTACATTCTTCGATTTCCGAAATCACTCATGCATAACCGTCCAGGCGCCATTTTGTCCGTTTCTGGTCCATTTTAAGGTCTTTCTATCGTCCTTCCTATCTCCACTATCCTAGATCCTACAAGCTTCTAACAAATTTCTCTAGATAGTCTAAGATATGTTCTTTAATCTGCGACGCATAACCTGCCCTGTAAAATGCTATCTTTGTACTCAAAATTCAAATCTGAAACTGACTCCGTCAAAAATCTCTCAAATTCTTGAAAAATTGACCCCTAATTTATCTAAAACTGCCATAACTTTCTCATATAAATTCTGTTTTGTATTTACATCTCACAGTATCTTTATATCATGATTGCACATAGCCACGCCAAATTTCACGCTCCAATGACTTTGCAAAACATAAATAGCGCCCTCTAAAGTTCTGGGAATTGGCTTTATTTCTGTGGCCGTATCTCCATTATGGCTTGGCAGACCCGTACCCTTTTATGGATTTAGATACTTGAAGTTATGCCCTTTCCAGCCAAATGCAAAATTATATACCCTAGCTAACACTGACCGACTTTACGAAAAAAATGCCCTCCAAATATGCAGTTTTCAAGAAAATTGCGAAATAACTTCACCTTGCTCTAAAATTACGATCCTTAGACCTACGTCAATGAAACTTTGCAGATACATGTATCTGTCTGCCAAGTTTGGTAAATTTGAATAACGTCAGCGCAAAGTTATCGCCAAAATTGATGAATTTACTATGCATGACGTAATAGCGCGTTTAATGCGCGCAGATGACAATGGTGTCAAACTGACCGCAATGAAGTGCCTTTTCAAATGATACCAAGAATGGTACATGTTCACACAGAAAATTTTGAGTAAATCGCATTTGAACAAGGGTCGCTGTACGAATTCCGCCAAGTTTCCGCCCGATTATAACATGTATCGGCTATGACGTCATTTTTTTCAGACTGCTTTTCGCCCCCTAAATGTTCTCTGTTTTCCTTGAAATTTTGCAGTGACATTCCGAGTTGCAACACGCAGGACACCGCAAAGCCGGATTTTTAAATTGGTCAAGGGGGCCATTTAAGACGCCATTTTGTCCTATAAATCTATTTTACTTTATGTGTTTCGATAGGATTATCATAGAAAAAAGGGAGAGTGGTTTACTATAACAACCATGAAATTCTCTTTCCAATGATACCAAATACGGCCCATAAAGAGACATAAAGAGAGAGAGAAAAAAAATTATTCAAGTCCGGTCATAATAAAGATCCTTTACGTTTTCCGCCAATGAATTACACGCATTGTCTATAGGGCAAATCGGGTTCACGCTTTTGGCCCCCAGAAGGATCTTTATTTTTCTTGAAATTTTACAAGCACATTCAAAGTGGCCAAGTGCAGAGCATCTCGAAGCCGGATTTTTTTAAATCGGTCAAGCATGACATTAAATGCTATCTCATACTCTGCGTAACAAGTCCGAAAGATGCTCTTTCGTTTGACACGTAGAAACATGGCGTCATTGCACGTATATCGTTCTGACACGATTGCATTTTTAGTTTTATGTTGTTGTTGTTGTTCTTGTTGAAAGTCTTCCCATCATATTTTCCCTGCACAAGGGTACTCACCTCCTGAAACCACAGCTGTAATAAATGACTGGAACTGTGAGATTCGGGTGTAGACGCCGGGCGAGAGTGATTTTGCGCATTCTCCTCCAAAGATTGTTGTTCCGACTAGATGCCACCGACCATCATCACCCTCACAGGTCAAAGGCCCGCCGCTGTCTCCCTGATTTTTGTAATAATAAACACGAGACAGTGAATTTAATTGGATTACTTGCAAACTAAATCAAATATGCTACGTAGGACCACACACATATGCAATTTTCGAAAAATTACATATATTTGAAACCTGGAAGTTTGATATTTTAAAGGGGTAGTTAAAGTGTGCCCAACTTCTGAAACTAGGACAAAAACGTTAAAAAATTGAAAATCACTGAGTGAAAAAGAACACCATTGCAGTCAGTGTCACAGTAATGATGGAAACGGGAGTACAGCCCAAATAATCGTTCTAATGAAAATAAAATATGATGGGAGAGTAGAAAAGCAACTTGGGTAAAAGGTAATGACTCAATCCTATGCACTTATCTCCTTTCATGCTGTCGTAGTAAAGAGGTTTGAGCGCTATACTGGAAATTCAAAGGTCATGGGTTTGGCTCCCGGCACGGCACTGATGTCCTTTGACAAGGCCTTAAAGGAGCTACACAAAGAACATTCACTAACAACTCGTAATTAGAACAAATGACATATGGATGGAAAGATTTTCTCTTGAAAAACACGAACAATTTGCTGAGAAATCATATAGATATCATGGAAAGGCGTAAAATGCAATTTTTCAAGACCCTCCTTAGACCCCCGAACGCCCCTGCAACGTAAGTCAAAAACACACAAGCGTAGCGAGCTCTGAATTGTGACGTCACACAGGACGAACAGCTCAGTGCCGTGTAGCAGTATGCAGCTAGCCAGCCGTGTCCCGTATGTGACGTCACAAATATTGACACTCTACAAAGAACCGCTGAAGGCAGAAAATCTGGATCTCCAAACTAACATTTTTTGAGAGTTGATTACTGCGGGCCCCAAACATATTTTGAAGAGAAGAGTTGTTGTATTTGATCGGCAAGGCTTCCCCTTCGCAATGATATGAGTTTTGCATCAATTCAAAACACTTTTGATTCTTCGTGTGGCTACTTTAATCTACATTTGCCACTCCATACCCAGGATTGAATGGAGACACTGTAGGAGCACGGATCCTGTGTGATAGTTATTGCTTTATGCCCTCACGGTGACCATGTGGTAGGAATACTCACCAGAGAGTGGAGATGCTGCACATTTTGCGTATAGATGAATCCGGTGTCCGGGATAACAATATCTTTAAAGCGCTTAGACACGGTATTTTGTCTTAAACACTATACATGTATAAATCTAGATCTTTTATTATTATTAGTAGTAGTAGTATTAGAAGTGTACGTAGTAGCAGTAGTTGTAGTAGTAGAAGCAGTAGTACATGTAGTAGTAGTAGTAGTAGTAATAGTAGTAGTAGAAGTAGTAGTAGTAGTAGTAGTAGTAGTAGCATTCTCTTTAATTCAAACCTCATAACAGTTGCCTATTGTGTCCGATACCGCCGCCCCATGACACCTGTGCCCCCCCCCCCCCAAACATGGATAAACTCAGGCAACGCCATAGATATCACTTACCTTACAAGCATCAATTCCACCTGGCGCATATCCAGCACATATCATTTCTTCTGCCACAGCCCCGTCGTAGGAAAGATTAGAATTGCACCAGTTTCGATCAAGAAGGTTCACCACTGCTTTTTTCATGCTCACCGTCAACGCTGCGAAAGATTAAGGAAAATCATCGTTTACATCTTCTGTAAGCAAACGAATTTCAAGTCAAATTATCATGAAATGTTTGAAACCATTTAAAGAGTTATGGAAAGGTAGAGTGGTTTCAACACTGCTACATAGCTTGATTTTTCATTTTTAACCATCCAATAAATACAATATTTAATGATATTTGGGTGAATAGGGGTATCAAGTTAGGTGGTTAGGTAGATCTACGTGAAGAAGAACTACTGAAGGGCATCTTCAAAGCTTCCCTATTTGAAAGAGGCCTTGTGGATATCACATTCCTTTCAATCAGATAACCTAGAGAATTGATTGGCTTACCCCTGTAGGAATTGAGAAACCTATATCAGCAACTAAGTAGTGAAGCACAGTAGTGTTGTTGATTCAATTTCAATTCAATTCAATTCAATTCAATGGTTTCATTCATTGTAAGTTAACAAAAATATATATATATATATATTCACAAATAAATACATAAACATACATCATGATTTAACCTGGGTATACGAATAAATACCTTAGACTTAAAAAGAATGAAAAGAATGAATTCATTTTCAATAATGGTTTATTATGTAATTTCAAAATACATGCATCATAATTGTCATTTTACATGAAAAGCAGCAGAAGCTGAATTATTCATGTTTACATGTTGACATAATAAAGTGATAAATCGCATTTTTAAATATTGACACGTTTAAAAGATTGTTAAAATAGATTCAAAATAACATTACACGTTAAGAATGACAAAATAAAGATTTATGCTCTCGTTTAGAATGAATACATTGGATTTTAAGACTAAAGACGACTGAGGTGAAGACTATTACTGTGTTTGAAATTAAACATGTAGTTAAAAAAGCGTTTAATTATGGTTAATTAGATTGAACAAATATGGTAAAGGGCTGTTCTTGAAGGGATTGGTTTTGCATTTGAAATTATGATATGTAGGAACCTGACGTAATGATATTATAATTTTTTTTTTTTTTAAGGTAGCCAGTTCTGGCATGCTGGGTGAATTGCTAAAGATTTTGTAAATTTTCTACAAAGTACTAGTCTTCTTTCCTCAAGTGTACTTAAATTGCATACTTGACATGCATGTGAATATGACATAAATTTAGAGCCTTAAGTAATTTTGCAACCCTCCGTTGCATTCGTTCGAGACTGTTTTTCTGTTCAGATGTAAGACCACTATGAAACACTGGGGCGCAATATTCTAATACTGGTCGTATATAGCCTGTGTAGATTAATACTAAATCCTTTAAAGGTAAATTAATTTTTTTAAGTTTCCTCAATATATAAGTTTTTCGATAACATCTTTTCATTAGCTTATCAATATACAAATTCCACTTTAGATCAGACTGGATGATCACTCCAAGAATTTTAGCACTATGCCTATTACACAACTCGGTCTGGTGGATTTTTCATGAAACTAACTTGGAGGGTAAAACACTTTGAAGGATTTAGTGACATATTATTCACAATAGACCAAGATTGCACAGAAATAAGTACTGATTGTAATTGTGAGACATCTGTAGATTTCCGATATTGTACTAACGAGAGGTCGTCGACATATTTAAAATACGGTATATAAAGTTGCTCACATAAATCGGTCACCATAATGAAAAAGAGAATTGGCCCAAGACGTGTACCATGGGGAACACCTGCATGATTGATTTCAACATTTGATAAAACACCGTTATATTTTATATTTTGTTTACGAAATTCTAAAAAACTGGCAATCCAATCTATTATCCAAGGCCTTATATCCATATGAATCATTTTTCTAATAAGAATATTGTGATCTATGCGATCAAATGCTTTACTAAAATCTGTACAAATAACAGTTGACAGAGATTTACTGTTTTCTGCATTTTTATATGGACTATGTAAAAGACCAACAATATAATGTGTAGTAGACAGACCAGGTCTATTGCCAAATTGGTGAGTGTCAATTTGTTTATCAATATCTTCTAATAACCATTTTTCTATAAAGGATTCTGCTACTTTGGAAATATGAAGTCAATGCAATTGGGCGAAGATCATTAATATGAGGAGGTTGGGATTTTGGAATCGGACATATTTCTGCAGTTTTCCATTGGGTTGGAACTTTTCCTTGTCTAAAAGATTGGTTTAGAATCTTCGTAAATGGTACACTCAATTCACATGCAAATTCCCGTATAATTCGTACTGGTATATCATTACTAACAGATGTTTTTTTTCAATTGTAATTTACGTAATTTACAATACACTTCCCAGTAACTGATTTCTGGGCTATTGCACTTTGAAGGTAAAAAACATGGTAAAGTCTCCCTATCTAAGGGAGAAAGATCAGAGGCAATAGACTCAAACAAATTACCAATTGCATTAGCAGCTTTTTTATAGCATTGAGGTTTTTGTGATTCAATACCAAGAATAGTAATTGGAATGGGGTTACATTTACCGTTTGTAAGTATTTTAAAATGTTTGTACCAAGCTGACGGATTATTCAACTTTTCTCTTTTTATACGAGAATTGTAATAATTCTTTTTAGCAACAGATATAGCTTCAGCAACTTTATTGCGTAAATGTTTCCAAAGATAATTATTTCCTTTCTTAGAATATGGGAAAACTTAAAAGAAAATTCCTAGGTCCTTGTATTAGGCTAGCCCTCCACGAGCATAATTTTCACAAGCTGAATAAATATGAAGGCAAAGAAGATCAAAATAATTAAACATATCAGAATCAACTTGCATACAGGATATCAGTTTAAAACAAAAAAACATACACATCATGTTTGAAAAGAGTGGCCGACAGTTTGAATCTCTTCCCGCTGCTCATATTCTTAGACGAAGTATTTTATTTTCAGTCGCCTCGATCTCTTGGCCCAGGCGTAGTGAATGGGTACTGGTGTAATGGAGTAATATATACTCTGACATGCACTCAGGGGCGTCGCTAGACCTTTTTCAGAAGGGGGGGGGGGGGTGTAGAGGCCAACAATTACCGACAAAACTAGCCACCTATTACCGACAAAATTAAATGTCCAATATCTATAAATTCAACCCTATAAACCTGGGGCCGAAGGCTAAATTGTTTTTCCTATGGACTATCTATAGTACTTGCACATGCGCAAAATGGTCATTTTCCTCGACGACATAAATATACGAATTATTTCTTCAATATAGTCAGCATCATAGCTACATGTATATATTTTAATGCAGGCGCGGAGCTAGGATCTTATTTTAGGGAGGGGAGGTAGTGGGCAAGAGAATCACTTAAAAGCACGCTCATTAGGGGGATGTGGGTGATGGGCCTCCCGCCCGAAGCGCGGAAGCTTAGACGTTTCCTTAAATTATTATGAAAAGAAGACGATTAATTGTACCGTTTTCGACTGTTAATCCTTGGCTGAATTAAGTTTCCTCCCCCCCCCCCCCCTCCCGCGCGGAGCGCGAAAGCTATGACGTTTCATTAAATTATTACTAAAAAAAGACGATTTGCTGTACCGTTCTCGACTGTTTATCCTTGTCTGAATTCAGTTCCCCCCCCTCCCGCGCAAAGCGAGGAAGCTTTGACGTTTCATTAAATTATGAGAAAAAGCAGACGATTCGGTGTACTGTTCTTGACTCTTAATCCTTATCTATATGGAGCTTCCCCCTCCCGCGCGAAGCGCGGAAGTTTTATTAAGTTTCATTAAATTATTAGAGAAAGAAGACGATTCGTCGTACCGTTTTCGACTCTTAAAGAGAAGGTTGAGTTCTGAGAAGAGGTGAACAATAATTTGTGAGCGTTATCATTCTTATTATGCAAGTAAGGAAGAACATCAGGTAAGACCTGTTCCCTGAAAAGCATGGCTCCTCAAATGCCTTCATATGTCATGTAACATCGTAAAACTCGGGGCGTAGGTTTTTTACGCCACGTGTTCGTGTAGTCTCATATACATCTTTTTGTATACAGTGTTTGTAACTTTACCAAGACTTGACCAAATTTCTTATTATTTTGATGATTCCAAAACCTTGCAATACACACAAATTCTTAAGCCCCAGTCCCATATAAAGCCGGACCAGCACGGACGAGCACGGACCACTCCGGACCATCCCGGACCATGGTCTGGGGTGATCCGGGATGGTCCGGGATGTTTTGTTCAAAAAATCGCAACCGCCGACCGTCTCCCCGGACCCAACACGGTACCACTACGGACCGCCCCGGACCGTCCGGGCATAGCCCCGGCAGCAGTACAGATCATTCCAGACCCAGCACGGAGCCGCCACGGACCGTCCCGGACCACCCCGGTGCCAACACGGTGCCAACACGGATGACACCGGACCATCCCGGTGCCAACACGAATCATCCCGGAACGCCCCGGATGGGGTCCGGGATGGTCCGGGATCATCCGTAGGGGCGCCGGGGTGATCCGGGGTCAATAACTCATCCCCGGACTGCCACGGATCAACACGGACCGCCCCGGCGCCACTACGGATGACCCCGGACCCAGCACGGTGGCTACACGGATCACCCCGGATCAAACTATTGTCCCGGACCGTCCCGGACCACCCCGGCAGTTTTTGACCGTCAAAAACATCCGGGGTCGACTCCCGGACCGCCCAGGACCATCCAGGACCATCCAGGACCATCCAGGACCACCCCGGTGCCAACACGGTGTCAACACGGACCGAATCCCGGATCACCCCGGATGGGGTCCGGGATGGTCCGGGACGGTCCGGGACGTATATGGGACTGTAGCTTTATATGCTAGATGATCAACCTTTTCTGGTCGATTCCACACCGTTTCTTTCACAATGCAATCGCATGACCAGAACTCAACTTCATCTTTAATAATAAGCCCTATTCATCTGAATTCAGTTTCCCCCTCTCGCGCGAAGCGCGAAAGCTTTGACGTTTCTTCATATTATTAGAGAAACAACACGATTCGTTGTATCGTTTGCGACTCGAAATGAGCCCTATTAAAATTTGTCTGAATTTGGTTTTCCCCTCTCGCGCGAAGCGCGGAAGCTTTGACGTTTCCTTAAATTATTAGAGCAAGAAGACGATTCGTCGTTGTACCGTTCTCGACTCGTCTAAATGAAATTTCCCCCTTCCGCGCGAAGCGCGGAATTTTTGGCATTTCATTACAATATAGAGAAAGGAAGACGATTCATCGTACCGTTTTCGACTCTTATTAAGCCCTATTCATCTGAATTCAGTTTCCCCCTCTCACACGAAGCGCGAAAGCTTTGACGTTTCCTCAAATTATTAGAGAAAGAACACGATTCGTTGTACCGTTTTCGACTCTAAATAAGTCCTATTAATTTTGTCTGAATTCAGTTTCCCCCCTCGCGCGAAGCGCGGAAGCTTTGACGTTTCCTTTTATTATTAGAGAAGGAAGACGGTTCGTTGTACCGTTCTCGACTCGTCTAAATGAAGTTTCCCCTTCCGCGCGAAACGGGGAATTTTTGGCGTTTCATCACAATATAGAGAAAGGGAGACGATTCGTCGTGCCGTTGTTGACTCTTAATCCTTGTTTGAATTAGTTTCCCCGAAAATTGTAAACCTCTGATTTCTTTAGCTGATATTATAGGAAAGTGAAACTTCGAGAAAATACAAGTATTGTAGTTGTAGTCACTCTCGAAGTCGTCACAGTGGATCAGAAGTCACAGTTCGTAGGGTGAGATGTATATTGTCGGTCGACCGACAATAATCATCTCTGCATTGATATAGTACACGAGGATCGAGCAAGAATACCGACAAAGCTGACCCGACACAGCAACATATTTACCCGTGTCTTTCTTGCTCCCTCGACGAGACGACTCCACCCAACAACCCCCTTCTCTCTTTTACTCCCACTCCTCATCTCTCAGACTCTTACCCCCCCCCCCCTCTCTCTCTCTCTCTTCTCTCTTTCATCCCCCGTTTCTATTGTTTCCATTTCACTCTTTTTTCTTCTCTTTATCTTTTCTTTCTTTTCCTTTCTTTCCTCTCCTCCCTCTTTTTCTTTTTTCTCTTTCTTTCTTCACTTTTCTTTCCTTTCTTTTCCTTTCTTTCTTTCTTCACTTTTCTTTCCTTTTTTTCCTCTCTTTTTTCTCTCTCTTTTTTCCCCTCTTTTTTTCCCCTCTCTTTTTTTCCCTCCCCCTTTTCTCTTTTTCCCGACGGCAGCGCAATTTTACCGACAATATCCTGATAGGTGGAGGGGTGTCGCACCCCCCCTTACACACCCCCTCCCCCCCCCCCCTGCACTGTAAGTTGATACCGGCACCCGTATGAAACTGAAAAAATCGTATTGCATTTAAGGACACACACACCACACACACTTCGTTTCATTCGAGAAATTCGCTTTACAAAATGGGCAATGTTCTTTCCTTATCATTATTATTATCATTATCAAACCCTCATCTGTTTCTGTCTTCAAAGTTTTGTTGAAGATGCACTTGTTTTCAGAATTGAAATGTTTATTCATTATCGTTTGTCTGTATAGTAGCACTTTTAGGAGTTTTGATTTATTACAGAGCAGTAGAGTGGCTGTGCTATATAAATTAATCTAATTATTATCATCATTATCAAATATAAGTAAAACAGTACATACGTGGGCCTTCCAGTGTAGTTCCCCATCCAGCGACGAGGCAGCGACGATAGTCCTTGAGTTCATTCGAGGATTCCGACAGACACGCGGGTGTAACGTAGTCACTGAATGTCACCGGTTCAGCAAGTCGTATCAGAGCGATGTCGTTGATGAGCGTAGAGATGTAGTACTCGGGATGGACAAAAATATCAGCCACCTCAACCGCTACCTCGTTGTCGGAGTCATCCGTCAAATGTGCGTTCCCAAAAACTACACGATCGACGTAGTAATCACTATAAGTGATAGTGGATGTAAAATCAGTGATTTTTACAAGGGCGAAATTTAATCATGTATATCAAAAGGACATCTCAATGGAGCTGCATTTATTTGAGCATGATATATATTAAATATTAACTGTAGTTTCATACATGAACATCAAGATTTCATTATATATTCCAAACGTTGTATTTGCTATGTCTCTCAGGGGTTTCATGAATTAACTAGCTCCTAATACATCGGACGTTATACGGTCTTGTAAATGTAAGTCTCTAAATTAAACATAATTCTGTTACGACATTGAAATGAAAACCCGAAATCTGACAGTTATCCCCTCGCCGACGAAGTCGGAGGGGATATAGTAACGCTGCTGTCCGTCCTTCCATCCTTCCGTAACAAATCTGGTTTCCGATCGATAACATTAGTAATTTTTGACGTATTTTAATGAAATTTGATATGAAGGTACATAATATTAAAACATAGCCTAAGAGTTCGATTACGGAGTATGTAAGTCAAAGGTCATAGCTCATTGAATATGCGAATCTTGTTTCCTTTCGATAACTTTGGTGATGGCCCGGTCACACACATAGACAACGCACGGCCGGTGCATTGAAAATCGGAAAACAAGTTGTGAGCCCGACTTTTGTCACGATTTGGGAGAAGCTAGCAAGCTGACACCGAATGCGTAGCGTTTTGCTAGCGCACTGCGCGTATACAGGGCATGTGCTCCGCGTATTTCACGAAGTGACGGTAGTGAATGATAATCCCATACAATTTGCGTGCGGATTTTCCTCACTACCGTCACTTTGTGAAAACAGGAACGGTATGTCTGGCGTTGGTCTAGCGCGCTCCGTGCATGTCTGGCGTCTTTTGGCGTGTACATTCATGCATCGAGCTCCGCGCACACTTTTGAGCATGCTCAAAAATTCCCGACGCACACAGCAAATGACGACGAATGCATAGCGTTGGTCCAGCGTTGGTCCAGCGCGCTCGACGAACGAGTAACGAATGATGACATAAAACTAGCGAACGACAACGCACTGGCCAAAATTTCTAATTTCCAATGCGCTGGCCGTGCGTCCCCCAAGCGTCCCGTATGTGTGACCGGCCCTAATGTTTGACGGATTTTATCAAATTTGACGTGAATGTTCATGGTACCAAAACACAGCCGAAGAGTTCGATTTCGCAGTATGTAAGTCAAAGGTCATAGCTCATCAAATATGCGAATCAGGTTTCTGTTCGATAACTTTAGTAATGTTTGACGGATTTTAATCAAATTCGATATTCAATTAAATTCAATTTATTTATTCTTCTTCTTTCAATTTTTCATATTAACAATGATGGTACATTTTTACATATCCACATATTAATATACATATACATTTAGATCAATTTGCACAATGCAATACATTTATATTTTAAAAAAACATGAAATTGAAAGGGAAGGAAGGCCGACTAAAAAGCAGAGCTAGGCCTATATGACGGTAGGTGGTATCACAATACGGACTAAGATCGTTTTGGGAGTATGTAGGTCAAAGGTTATAATACTTTAAATATGCGAAAATACCTAATTATGTATGCGAAAATGTGGTTAACATCCTTGCCTAGTAATATAATAGTATAGTCTAATGGCGGTAACTTGTTCTGACGTATTAGGCCATTTATACCCTGCGAGGGAATATGCTACGCTTTAGCGTTGACTTGTTACATTTATTTCATACATACATACAATTGATTCTCATATAGCGCAAAGTTCAATAAAATATTGCTTAATGCCTTTTACATATTGTAATCGGATATATCCATTTAAAAGAACGGATATATAATTGGTTGTACAGATATTGACTACTAGCGATACTTTATATATATATATATATATATATATATATATATATATTCATGAATATGATTATTTAGACGAAAACTCAGTGCATAATTTGTTTAGTTATAGTACATGCAATCTAGAGGTAAACACGTTCGCTACCATATAAATTGGTCTAAGTAAATATCCCTGTGAAGGTAAGGTGTCAATTTGCTTTCATTTCCAAAGAGCATACGAGTCTGATTAGTGGCATCATACTTACACGCAGTGAGCTGCGGTAAGAACCCATTGAGAGTTGATCAGGGTAGACCCACACCAATGTCCTCCAAATCCAAAATCCAATCCTTCGAGGCGGAGTGAACCAATCCAAGGGAATTCCACGGGGCGTGCGTTGATACCACCAACAACCCTGGATTGGTCGGGGGCGTATGCAGGGCGTGTCCCGCATATGTTGGTATCCAAAAGATCTGGGGGAGGGATAAAGTCGCAAGTCAGTGGCACGACGGGAAGGGAAAGGTCATCCACCCAATTTGAAGAGCACCCCTTTGCCTCCCCCCCCCCCCCCAAAGCAAATGAAACAAAACAAAGCATAAATCGAAAATAAAATGAAAAGAGGAGGGAAAAGGATGCCCGAAGAAGATGATAAACCACCTTTGAATACGCTCGAATCCACCTCCTTTTTGGATACTGATTTTCATTTTTCTCTAAAAACCCACTTGGCAGTAAGATGAGCGCCGCCATCCCCATCTCATTAGTTGCACGCCACTGCCACATGTGATGAATTCAATAGAACATGCTGACATCTTTTCTTCGGTTTTATGAACTATCATTTATAAACACTTAGTGCATCTTATTAAGTCCAAGCATATTCTTAACTCAATATCATCTACATGAATATGGCTGCATGGTCTTTACCTCCCGCAGGGCCAAAACAGCTCCCATCTTCCTCCTGTTCATCGGTAAACATGGAACAGTTGACGGGCCAAGGGCGGTCGAGGAGTTGCTCAAAGGATGCCTTGCAGGCATCAGTGACTGCTAAACAGTCGGAGTAGCACACCCGATGGGTGGGGCCGTTATGGGTGCATTCCGGATAGTATACGGTGCACATGAAAGGGAACAGGTGATCATGGCACGATGATATAGTATCTGCCTATGGTAGGTCATTAGAAAGTATAAACTTTGAGGATTTCACGTCAGGATTTTAAAAGGAGGCAATTGCAACGTAGACGTGTATGGTACATCAACAACGTCAGTATAGCCAGCAGCTCTTGCAAGTGGTAGGGTGGGGGGGGGGGGACCACGTGCCGACAAATATAACATAAATAATGTATTTTCAGACAAACAATAAATATTACATCAAAACAGATCTCCAACATATTTTCAGTCGTTACGTCTCTGAAAAATACATCCTTCTGTGTGATTATCCTTACTACCATGCAAATCCCCTCGCAAAGAATCACTTTTACAAAAAAGAATTATTGAATGCGTATAAACAAATACCAAATTCATTGGTTGATATACAGGTCAATAATCGTAGTAAGACAATGTTCTACTAAGGTTAACACTAATTAATTAATCGTTCCTGGCATTATCTATGAAAATCACCAATAATCTGGACAAACCGATCAGTAATAAAGAATCAACTCAACATTCATTTATAAAGCAATTAAAAAGACATTCCGCTGCTTTACCATGTCTTTAAAGCCTCCCGCTGCAGCGTCTGCTGTCTCTGCGTTCCGATTCGGGAAAAAAGTCAAATTGTAGGCCAGGCTCTGTCTACATATATCTAAATGAACTTGTTCGCAGTACGCTGGGTAGTAGAAAAATCGATCAATGAAGGGTCAAAAACAGCGATAACATGTCAGAGAAATCAGGAAAGCAGACAACATATATGACACATTAACAGCAACAAAAAGGGCAATCAAAATAATTCAACCGCTGAAGGTCCTGAAAGGCTTAATGTGTTTGGGGAACTGGTAAACAAAAACTCAGGGGAAAAAAACCTCTCTCTAAAGTAAAAATCCAGAAGTATAGAAACTCCCTCAATATAATCATAGAGATAGATAGGTGTGTAATACAATTGAAGGAAATGTAAATTTTATGTAACATTTATAACGATAGAAATTAATTGAGAAGCGAATGTAAACGTCAATAAAAACTTACGACAGTATTCCTCATCTGAGAAATCGAGACAGTCGTTATTTCCGTCACACCTTGCCGATTCGCTGATACACAGTCCACTCGAACATTGCATTTGACCGCTGCTGCATTCTGTCATGAAGTATTTAAAGCATCGAATTATAGATAGTCTCAATTTTAGTAAACAATACGTTATCGTGTACTTTAACTGATATATTTTGAAAAGCAATATAAGGTCTGGGCCCCGTCTTATAAAGAGTTGATATTAATCGCAACTTAGACGCGATTGATATCAATCGCAAGAATGTACATAAGAGATAGGAGACTCCAAACTTGCGATTGATGCGGATCAATCCCAACTCTTTATAAGACGGAGCCCTTATGGAATATTTTAAGTATAATTGAAATAATCACTCTGGACAATAAATCAAATATTATGAGGCACGACCTCACTTTGATACAACATGCAGTTTTCGTCAGATGTCTTAGGAATATACGTTTAAGCATAACTGGCAAACAAATTATCGTAGGCCTACCTATCTTTAACAACCTCTGTCAGCAGTAGGTAAAAATATCATATGATTGACTTTTTGTGAGTGAGGGAAGTAAAATGTTGATGCGTTAATAATCAGTGATATGGTATTATGTATCCACTTACAGCAGTGGAGAATTTTCTTTCTTTTGACTTTTTAAAATGATGATGAGCCGAATTAAATCGTCTTGCGTGCCCCGTGTGGCCCATGGGATGCTAATATGAAACATAACTAAAAAATAATAAGCAGAGTAATAGCTACATTTATATTGCACACACATTCATCCGAGAGGAAGCTCAAGGCGCCTACAAAGTAATATTATTACCCTGGCTTTAGCCCAGTTGCCCTAAGGCGTTAAAAGGATTCAAGGAATAAATTCCTACCGGGTTGCCATTTACTATATCTGGAAGGATATTAACAAAGGTAGATTAATGTCTTGCCAAAGGAAATTAGTGCCTCGGCGGGACTTGAAACGCAAACCATATAATCCACAGTCCGCTGACGTATCCACAAGACCACGACACCTCTTAAGACGCAGAGCCTATGGCTAATATGATCTTACCAGGGTTTAGTATAGCTGTGGCACGAAGACTGAAGCCAATATCACCCCTTGAGACATCCGTGGTAAACCTGACCCACATAGAGTGACCGGGTGTAGCGAGTGCACTGGAATAGTTATACCCGGTCAGTTTCTGAAGCACCCAAGAACCAGGTTCATTGGGACCAGGCCCAGAACCAATGTACAAGTAATCGTAGTCCGTCTCTAGGGCCAGGTGTAGGATCTGTATCTGGAGGATGTGACCCTCTGGAGCCGTGAGTACCCAAGTAAGGTCGAGGTTCGAGTCGTAGTAGGATGGATAGCCGGGTGAAGATATGACAGTGATTTCGTTCCATTCACTTTCTATCACAGAGATGCTGGTATCTGTGCAATGAATTCATAATAATAATAATCATAATAATAATAATTATAATAACAATGAAAATAATAAAATACTAATGACATGATAATAAAAGTGATTTTTAAAAAAAGTAGTAAAAACTTTTAACCAAGGAAGCCAAGGCATTAACGATGTTCTTCCTGAGAGCCCTGCAATTATTCTTGAAGAAACAAGTTCAGACAAGGTTGTATGACACATGCTCTTGTCCCAACTGCTCCTTGGTAATTTCATTCACTAACCGAGTTCCTTATTTTAACCCTAGAGCAATCACTGTACCTATTAAACCCTGACCCAACACCTCAACGCTTTAGGAAAGAAGCTGATACATTAAGCGTTACGTTAACCTTGGCATAACAAGTCATATGATACCATATTGAATTTCACAGTTCATATAGGGAGCCAGGCGCGTACGCAGGGGGGGGGGGGGTTGACCCCCCCCCCTTTGGGTTTTTTATTATTATTTTTTAAATAAAAAATTGTGGTAATGGGTGACCCAAAAAAAAAATGAGCTCTTACCCCCCCCCCCCCCCCCCCCCCCCCCCCCCCCCCGCTTATTCAAGCGGCTGGCTGAGTCGTTGCGAAATTTTCGGGACCAAAGAAAAATGTCCTCTTACCCCCACCTGGCTGAGTCGTTGCGGAATTTTCAAATTTTAAACTCCCCCTCCCTCGAAAAAATCCTGCGTCCGCGCCTGTAGGGAGCTAGCATAGATTTTCATTCTGTTATATTCGGTGATCAAAGCAGAGAACACCCCCGCTCCCACCCCCCCCCCCCCCCCAAAAAAAAAAAAAAAAAAAAAAAAAATCTGTCGAAATTTAGTACTATCATGCTTACATAATGCATGGAATATGCAAACGTACTTACCTAAGATAGTCTCGCAATACAATCCAGTGAAACCATTGGGGCATCGGCAAGTAAAAGTGTTTATTCCATCTCCGCAGGAGGCATTGTTTTGGCACGGATTGCTCTGACACTCATTCTCCTCTGCAGAAAAGACCGGGAGAAGAGATTGATTAAAAACACGATCACATGAGTTGATTTCAAGAATTAAGTATTTGCGTTTTAACAAACGTACTTACCTAAGATAGTCTCGCAATACAATCCAGTGAAACCATTGGGGCATCGGCAAGTAAAAGTGTTTATTCCATCTTCGCAGGAGGCATTGTTTTGGCACGGATTGCTCTGACACTCATTCTCCTCTGCAGAAAAGACCGGGAGAAGAGATTGATTAAAAACACGATCACATGAGTTGATTTCAAGAATTTAGTATTTACGTTTTAACAAGAAAGTCTTTGTTTGTTTGTTTGTTTTATTTCCGTATAAAAGACATCATGCATTCAGTAATATAATAACAAATAGAATAATGAATAACAAGATAAAATAAACGGCTGGATAGCCCATATTCAGCGGTATCATTATGATACCGCTGGTCTTCCATGGGGACCAGAAATGATACAGTAAAACAATACAATAAATAACAATATACATTAACAAACGACAAAGAAAAACGACAAAGAAAAATGGCAAAACATAAATTCTCAAGCAAAATATAGTAAGAAATTAAATATCCAGGACAGACAGTATAGAGAAAAGAAACTGGTATTTATAGAAAGAGAATTGTGTGAAGTAAACTTATAAACAACTCAAAAGTCTCTTGAATGAAGACAATGTATTACAGTTGCGTAAGGCCAATGGTAATCCGTTATACAATACTGAGCCTCTATATACAAAGGTTCTTTTACAGTAATTTGTCCTAGGTTTAGGAAGGACAAGATTAAATTGACTACGAAGTGAGTATCTAGTAACTCTAAAAGAAACATTTTCATTTATATAATTAGGAGTCCGGCCATGCAGTATTTTAAACATCATAACGTGCATGTGTTTAGTACGCCGTAGGGACAAAGTATCCCATTTTAGGATATCATGCAATTGTTGATTGGATATATATGACTGCCGATTTATCTTCAAAATGATCCTCCCCGCTCTATTCTGTAGTTTCTGTAACCGATCAAGATATTTATCAGAAGATGACGACCACACATTGTCTGCATACTCAAAATGCGGGAGAATAACAGATTGATATATAATTTTCAAATTAGTTTCATTTACATAATGTCTCAATCGACCAAGAAATCCAACCATTTTTCCAATTTTCTTACACATGTTTTCAATATGAATGTTCCATTTCAATTCTGAGTCAATAATTACCCCTAGGTATTTTGTGTTATGCATTTGGATTATATCTCTCCCTCGAACTTTCAAAACTAATTTATCTTGTTTTTTCAGCAAATTTTTTGTTGCAATTAACATACCCACGGTCTTGCTGTAGTTAATCTTCAGTTTATTCCGAGATATCCATGTATCTAATCGAGCTAGTTCCTCGTTGAGAACTGACTGTACAACAGACGGATTCTTATGGGAGTAATATAACACAGTGTCATCAGCATATAGATGTATTTTACATTTTTCAAAAGAATGAGGCATATCATTAATAAATATGACAAACAATAAAGGGCCTAGTAGAGAGCCCTGCGGCACCCCACCAGTCAATGGTAATGCATCAGAAACTACATCATTAATACAAGTCACTATCTTTCGATCAACCAAATAGCTCCTGAACCATTGAAGCGATTCACATGTGACGCCTAATAGTAAGAGCTTTTGTAACAGTATATCAGTATCCACCAAATCAAATGCTTTTTGTAGATCAACAAAGACTGACCCTGTGTATTGTCCCTGGTCCATTGCGTTTAACCAGTCGTCGGTCACCTTGACAAGCGCAGTACACGTTGAATGTTTCTTTCTGAAACCAGATTGGTGAGCAGATATAATATCGTTTACATTTAAGTGTTGAATGAGTTGTTTCTGTATCATTCTTTCAAGAAGCTTTGAGATGCATGGCAATAACGAAATGGGCCTATAATTATCTGGGTTATACTTGTCACCCTTCTTATGCAACGGTATAATTTTTGCTATTTTCCATACGTCAGGCACAACCCCATCTCTGATTGATTTATTTATCAAATATGTTATTGGTTTAATAATTTCATCAGCAGCTAACTTAAGAATAAATTGAGAAATACCATCTACTCCAACCGATTTTTTATTTGGGAATTTCCTTAATTCGTTTAATACCTCATCTTCGGTAACAAAAGAAAGTTTAAAATCTTGTTTTAGATTGGGCGATACTGGATTGTCCAGTCTAGAATTTACATCTTGCTCTGACGAATCGTCATTCAAAGTGTCAACAGCGACATTTGCAAAATGGCTATTAAATTTGTTTGCTGTTTTCAAGACATCTCCTTCAATAATAGGAATAGACGATGAAGAGCGACTGTTAGGGACTATGGATGACAACAACGTCCAAGATTTACTACGATTTTGATTTCCAGTTAAATTTTCACAGTAATATTTACGTTTAGCTTTTCTAATTTCAGCTGTAACTTTATTCTTTAATTTCTTGTAATTTTTCCACAATTCGCCATCTTGTTTTGACTTTGCTTTGTCTTTCGTTTTGTCCCTTTCATCCATAAGACTAAATATAGGTTCATCTATCCATGGCGAATGTTTCTTCCTTACTCGCTTTGTCTTTAACGGCATGTGTTTATCCACAACTTCCAACAGCAGCTCTTCCCATTTACACACAGCTTCATTCAACTCATCAATACGTTCTATAACCTTCCAATTATTATTTTGTAAGTCAGACTTAAATAGTTCATTATCAATCCCTTTTGAAAACCAACAACTAGACCTATAAAACTACCTATAGAATTTTTCAGTTTATCTTTATAGTATGACTATCTTATTCCTAGATGGGTCTTTATTATCCTCTTTTACACCAGAATTCTCGACATGCCCTGAACTCATAAATAATTTAATAGTGTACGAATTAAGCATACACATCTTACAAAAAATCGTATAGTGCTCCTGCCAAAAAATGTTGGTCTCAATTTTGAAATAGGTAATTCTGCAAATTATTTATATATATATATATATATATATATATGGGAGTGAATAAAATGGTCTAGGAACGTGAGACGTAGCTGTATTTTACGATTTTATTACGAGTTTTCGGCTTGTGATGCCTTCTTCAGTACAGCTACGTCTCACGTTCCTAGACCTTTTACTTCACGCCTACATATTCCGGACCACCCGTTGTCATGTCAGAGTTGAGAATTCTCGCACTTTTATAAATATATATATATTGATTTTGTTTGCAGTGGAAAATGTGATTATTCGCCTGTATTTCATTAAAAAGAATCAGAAACTTAAATTTTGTATGAATCATAAGTACACGTGTAATGTCCTTTAACAATGGTATTCAGGGAAAAATTATGAGAGCCCGGAATAGCATAGGTGTTGTTTTGTACTACAATCACCCACCCTGGCAAACTCATGGAAACGGTACATAGACGACATCTTTTTTTTTTTGGACAGGCTCACCCAGAACATTATCCAAACTGCAAGAAAAAATGAACAATATACACCTATCAAATTCACATTCGAATCATCTAATGACAGGACTCACTTTCTCGACGTTTCACTCCAACAATCCAATAACCAAATAGAGACAGAACTATACATCAAACCTAAGGACTCACACACATACCTCCTGCCATCCTCCTGCCACCCTAGCCACTCCCTCAAAAGCATACCACACAGCCAAACACTACGAATTCGAAGAATATGCTCAAAACCTGATCGTGAAGATCACCACCTCAAACAGCTACAACAGAACTTTGAAGACCGAAATTACCGACCAGACATGGTTAGACAACAAATAGAAAGAGCTAAAGAAAAACCCAGAGAGGAACTACTTGAATACAAATCACGCTCTGAAAAACACAAGGACATAAAGAACTTCCATTCGCAACACAACAAAAAAAATACTACCATACACAGTACACTTCAACCTTTCATCTAGATCACTAGACAATGTTCAAATCACCGGAATCGAATTAATCCACAACAAATCACGCCACACAATCCTCCACGGAGAATCTTTTTGGATATGAAAACTTAAAACCCTACACCCAGATGGGATCAATGTTGATCAATAAGTCAATTAACACACCGACATATCAGACGCACGTAAACTTTTGATCACACGATCAAAAAAACTGCCTCAACACAGATTTTCGATCTTAATTTTAATTTTATTTTAAGTCTTTGATTCTCACGTTTTATCCTTGCAATCGTTATACAATGTAGAGTCAATATACCGCAACCAATCGGACTGCGTACACACCAATGCATTTGAATGATGCCTTCTATCCTCCTCCCTTCCCCCCCCCCCCCTAGACACAGGTCATGACACCGGCTGTGTCATAGATCAGTAACATCCGTGCCAAAGGTCAGTAATCCACAATTGACCGCACATCCCTAATTACACGTTCACATATATCACATCAACTGAATAAACACACCGCCAGCCCAAAACACAAGCAAGGTAAAACACTTTGAAATTACATAATCATTTCTAAGTTTATTCCGAAAGTATTTCTCGTACTAATTTTTGCTATGTTCATGATGCTTGACTATGATTGAGTGATATTAAGTTTCTATGACGTATACATTTGTTCATACAATGCATTTGTTTTTGTATGTGTTTGCACTTCAGAACCTGAAGAAGGCCTCACAAGCCGAAAGCTCGTAATAAAATTGTAAAGTACAGCTGCGTCTCACGTTCCTAGACCATTTTCTTTTCACGCCTACATTATTTTAGATCCTCTTTCATTTGATGTAACTCATATAATGCATATTTCACGCATGAGTGATTAAAATCAATTTGAAGAGAGGGAACCAAAAAGTAATTTGGGGGACAGTATCTGAATTTCAGGGAGAAAAATCACATTCCAAGAAAGTTCAATTTCTGCCCTTTCATATGACACTTCAATCAGCAAAAATGAACAAGGAATAACAAAGTTATGTTTGTTTAAAATGATGCTTGCATTTCCATAATTTTATTAAAAGAATTCGTTTTCACTGGCTGCCTGTCGTAGCAACAAAAAGAATTGAAAAAAGACTTAACTTCGTTTCGTTGACGATCAGCCATAGACGAAACACTTCAAAAGGGGTGATAGTATCCAAAGAGTATCCCTTGAGAGCGCACAGGGAGGTTCTATTATTATGTGATACGCTATTTACAAGAACGGAAAATTAAAATTGTAAGTATAAGGGGGAGACAAACCTGTTTGACAGTAATCCCCTTTAAAGCCTTCGAGACAAAAGCACTGGAAACCGCCATCGATGTCTGAACACGTGCCTCCATTATGACAAGGGTTACTCAGGCACTCGTTGATATCTGGAAAGTAGCATTGTTCATTTAGTGAAAGTAATCGAAATATTGATATTGTTTCACCTCAACATGGCTATAATATTGTCATTAGTTTTGGGTGATTTGGTGGAGAAAAGCAACAAATTTGCAAAATACCTCGTGGATTTTATAACTTTCATGAAGTGATTAAGATCAATCGTGTTTTAGTTGTTTATCTTATTTGTTAATCAATTAACTGTCGTGCTTTTTTCGTCAGAAAACTTCCCTTTTAAAACTATTTCAACGTATTTCGAGGTTAAAAGAGTTTTCCATGTTTGTTTTTATATATTAATGAATAAGTTTATTAATGTTTTATTGTTAGAAAAAGAACTCACCTTCAGTCCTGTCTGCTGTTAGATTCACTAAGAATCCACTTCCCATAAGCGAACCGACCGCTCTTCGTTTCCTTCTACTGAAGTCCCCAGTATCCGACACAAATCTAAACCACAATTTTCGAGTGGGTGAGGTAATATCTTCAGGCAATTCACTTCCAGTCAACTCCACTAGAATTGTGGGTACTAAAGGACTCCAGCCGTAGCCCACGGTAAGCGAAGAACCGTCGGTGATGTTAAAGAAGTCGAAACGCGCCCTCACGCTGTAATCCTGAGGAGCCATTATCCGCCAAATCTCGTACACGCTGTCGCTTGCATCATGAGGAAAGTCTGGTGAGCGGAGCTGTTGGAGCGTAGATCCGTTCACCAAGATTAGAGGATTGTCATCTGTTACAACAAAAATAGGATAACACTAAATGTGGCAGAAATACAGGTATGTTTTTTCCTACAAAAAAAGACATACGAGAATATTAAGACATTTTAAGATCATCTGATCATTCTGAAGATTCTTAAATCCCTAGAATTTCACCATGACACAAAATCGAATCTTATTACCTCTCAGATCCACAGCGTTCAGTGTTGCCATGAATCCAACGTTAGTAAGTTCGTAATTACTGGAGAATTTGAGCCACATATGGCGGCCATGTGACGTCACAGTCGACCTTAACCCATAGCCCGTCAGCCTCGCAAGTTCTGTGTAACTCAGTGGCGTCAGTCCATCGCCCACAAACAAGAAGTCGAAGTTCGATTCGGTAGCGAAGTCGACGATGTCCAGCCTGACGCTGTGGTTGACAGGGGCTGATACCTTCCAGACGATGTTATCACCGATGTTGTAGTCGGAAGGGTAATTTGGAGAAGTGATGTTCACTGGGACGGCACGCTCAAGGGTGATTTCAGTAACACCCGGTGTTATTGCTGAAAGAAATATTAATATAACCAGAATACTTATGATTTTTTTGTTTAATCCGATGAATAACACCAAAACATATTTTTGAGGGTCAATATCGCTATTCATAAGGACCGCTATTCATAAGGTTCGCTATTCATAAGGTCCATTATTCATAAGGACCGCTATTCATAAGGTCCGCTTTTCATAATTGGAGAAAAGGGTCATTATTCATAAGGGTCATTGTTCACAAGGACCGCTATTCATAATCAAAGAAGAGGGTCGGTATTCATAATATTAGAAGAGGGTTGCTATTCATAATACGAAATCGGGGTCGTTATTCATAAGGGTCCTTATTCATAATATTACAAAAGGGTCGGTATACATAACACAGAAAGAGGGTCACTATTCATAATAAGAAATGAAGGTCGCTATTCATAATACGAAATGAGGGTTGCTATTCATAATGCAAAATGAGGGTCGCTATTCATAATAGGACAAGAGGGTCGCTATTCATAATAGGAGTAGATGTTCACTATTCATGATACGAAAAAGGTTCACTATGCATAATAAATATAGAGGGTCGCTATTCATAATAAGAAATGAGAAGAGAAACGATTTATTGTATCACTCTCGACTCTTAATCCTTGTCTGAATTCAGTTCCCCCCCCCCCCTCGCTTTCACCTTTCATTAAGTATTAGAGAAAGAAGACGATCCGTTGTACCATTCTCGACCCTTTTTCCTTGTCTGAATTTGGTTCCCCCTCCCCCTCCGGCGCGAAGCGCGGAAGCTTTGATGTTTCATAAAATTATTAGAATAAGAAGAGGATTTGTTGTACCATTCTCGACTATTAATCCTTGTCTGAATTCTACCCCCCCCCCTTACGCAAAGCGCGTAAGCTTTGATCTTTCATTGTTTAATGCAATTATTAGAGAAATAAGATGATTTGTTGTTCCATTCTCGACTTTTAATCCTTGTCTGAATTCAGTTTCCCCACCCCGCGCCTTACGTGGAAGCTTTGGTGTTTCATTAAATTATTAGAGGAAGAAGACGATTCGTTGTTCCATTCTCGACTCTGGCTACGCGCCTGCTTTAAAGGGAAAATGAAACAATCATTATTGTGATAGCACACAATAATGTTAGAAGAAATGAAAAAGAACAACAATTATTGCAACAACCATGGATAAATCACGGCCGGGAGCGTGGGTCGAGTGTCATATCATAGTTTTGTGTTATTGGGCGAGGGGGCGTAACGACCAAGCGAGATTTTGCAATGTTGAATGCTGACATTATGCACTCTAGGAAATCCCTAAGCCCAACATGTACGTTCTTTCCGCTTTAATTATATCTTTCTAGCTATATTTCTAAATTTCCTGGGGGACGTGTCCTCATATCGGGCCCAGGATTGCCGCCCTGTCCATGATTACTACCAACATGAGCTCAAATACAAGCTCAAGCGAGTTTATATGAGCTGAAGCCAAACGAAGGGCAAAATAAGAGTTGTGAAGCGGCCCCCTACCGTTAATTACAAAATTGACTTTGCAGGGCAGGGGCTGTTTTAACGTTTAAATTTGATTCCGTGGCTCGAAAATTACTGTCACTAAGCGCCATTTCCTTGTCTTTCCACCTTTTTTCACCCGACTCCCCACCCCCCCCCCCCCCCCACTCATTGTTATCTAGGGTAAGCGTACGCATTTCCCTCTCTTTGAAAGCACCCCTCTATCTCCGGTGTGTAAAGTCAGTATACGGGCCGGATTTTCTCTTTTCTCTTTTCTTGTCTCTTCTCCTTTCTTTTGTCTTCTCCTTTTTTCTTCTCTTCTTTTTAACCTCTGTTTTTGCGCCGCCAATAAGGGGGGGCGGCCGTTTCGGCACCGAGTATGCCTGTGGTGTCCAGTGGCGTTTCTGGCGTTTGTTCTCGTTTGGGGGGGGGGGTAAGGGGGGCGCAAAAATGTATCTTTTACCCCTCTTTATTTTCTTTCTCTTCTCTTTTTTGCTGAGGGGAGGGGGAGGCAAGGGCATTTCGATCCAAACCTTGTTGGCGGAAAAATCGCAACTGACATCCCGTTTCTTTACTTTTCTTCTTTCTCTTTTTTCTTTCACCTTTTTCTCCTCTTTTTTATGGGGGAGGGGGTGGAGGCAAGCCCCCCCCCCCGATTAGCTTCTTTTCCCCCATTTCTTTTCTTCTTCCTCTTCTTTCTTTCCTTTCTCTCCTCTTTACCTTTGCCTTCTTTTCCTTCTCTCTCTTTCTCTCTCCTTTTTTTTGGGGGGGGGAGGGGGGGCGGGGGGCATTGCATTTGCCACCTCGCCCCCTGGATCCGCGCCTGGATATACGGACGGTAAACGGTACGAAAAATGGCCGGTATAGGCAGGGGCGTCGCTAAAGGGGGGAGGGTGAGGGGTGCGACACCCCCCCCCCCCCACCTGTCGGGATATTGTCGGTAAAATTGCGCTGCTGTCGGGGGAAATGAGAAAAGGGGGAGGGGGAAATGAGGGAAAGGAAAAGATAGAAAACAAGAAAAGGAAAAGATAGGAAAAAAAGGAAAGAGAAAAAAGGGAGAAACCGAGAAAGAGAAAATAAATAAAAGGACAAAAGGACAAAATGAGGAAAAGGAAAGGAAAGAAACGGGGGATGAAAAAGAGGAGAGAGAGAGGGGGGAAAGCCTGAGAGAAGAAGGGTGGGAGTAAGAGAGAGAGAGAGAGAGAGGGGGGCTTGGGGGTAGTTGCCCCCAGATTTGAAACGTGGTTTTTTTTTTAAATCGATACCAGTGATTTACAAATGTTGCTGAAATAAAACGATTTTCCAAGTTTCCGAGATTTTGTTCACTTTTTTGTAAATCATACTTTTATATGCGTTTGTTGAAAAGTGACTAATTCCAAAATTTATACTCGGGCTGATATGCTACTTTAGTAGCTAACGTGTCATGGTGTGAACCCCCCCCCCCCACACACACACACACACACATACACCTTTTTGTAAAGGTATGTTAATGTGGAAATATAAAGAAAGAAAGAAAGGTGACCTGCCGGTTTCACAAATGAGGTATCAAAATATGCTCATCTGACCGTAATTAAATGCCTAAAACCCCCGAGCTTCCGGGGGTATGCAGACCCCACCAAAAGCCCTTTGGCGGGCCCCTGGAACCTCATCTGACCTTATTTTAATGCTTAAAACACCAAAGCTTCCTTGACCCTCACCGGGGCTTTGCCCCCGGACCCCACGCCAATTTAAACAATATTGCCCTACTTTTTCGCAGTGTATATGCTAATGGTCCTGTCAAACTCCGTTTGTTTTCGATGTTAGGAAAGTTTCAGGAGATCAAGTTTTTGGATAAATCAAGTAAGGTTAATTAATATGATTATTAGTATCCTGAGGCATGATAATTCATGGAAAACTGAAATCTTGAAACTCTTCATTGGCTGAAATTGAAAAGCTTCTGTGTGCCTGGATCTGACTAAGGCTATATAATTTGTAGTTCCATAAGTCCTACTAAAAGTTACTTTTTACACAAATATTATTTTCGTATAAACAATTACTAGTTTCTTAAAATAGCAAATTAAGTCATTAAATGGCTATGATAATGAGCATGCTTGTTCTACTTAATGTGCCAGTGGCGTAGCCACGATAAGCTTAGTCGGGGGGCAGTGTGTTGGGGCAAGATTTCCCACGAGCGGGACAAATGACGATAGGATTATGTGTGTTTTCCTACTTGTTTTCACCGCTGTAGCGGGGGAAATATATTAGCTAGATTATGGGGATGTCTATAATTATCAAAGCTAAAAAGTAAAATAATTTTTAAAAATACATAATACAGGGGATGCAACCGTTCGCATAATGTCTTACGGTAAAAAAAAAATCGTATCTGATTCTGAATATCCAACTTCCTTACTTATATGGAAAATATGTCGTGCGACATTGTATATTTACGAAAAGCTTGAATATGGTATATAACTTAAGTCCCTACAACCCTCTCTCTGTCGCTCGAAGGCAACACTGATACAACCCCACGGCCCCCACCCTTAAACACACAGAGGCTACGCCATCTATGAACTACTTGGACGAGAATTGTCGCTAATATGTACATGTACCAAGGGAATACTGCCGGGAGGGTGGGCAGAATGGCGCAGCGGGGTCGGGCTTACTTGGGGGGGGGGGGGGGCTGGTGACCGGAATGTAAGACACGTTCATTATTGGGGCACGCCTTTTTTTCAGAAATGTGAGTTTTCAATAAATATTTTCTTCAAATGTTTGGGACCATGTGGCCTACCCCAACCCCGGCCTACGCCCCAGCCACTGCCTACGCTGTGGGGTGTCCTCTAACCAGCATGTCGCTTTCTTATTAACATTTAGTTTATTGCTTATGTCATGTTGACTTTTTCGGTATTATGAATAGAGACCCTCTCGTAGCATTATGAATAGCGCCCCTCTTCTCCTATGATGAATAGCGAACCTCATTTCGTATTATAAATAGCGACCATCTACTCCTATTATGAATAGCGACCCTCACTTCATATTATGAATAGCGATTCTCTACTTCTTTTATGAATTGCGACCCTCATTTCGTATTATGAATATCGACCTTCATTTCGTATTATGAATAGCAACCCTCTACTCCTTTTATGACTAGCGACCCTCATCTCGTATTATGAATAGCGACCCACATTTCTTATTATGAATAGCGACCCTCATTTCGTATTATGAATAGCAACCATCTACTCCTATTATGAATAGCGACCCTCATTTCTTTTTAGGAATATCGATCTTCATTTCGTATTATGGCAACCCTCTACTCCTATTATGAATAGCGACCCTCATTTCATATGATGAATAGCGACCCTCATTTCGTATTATGAATAGCGACCCTCTTCTCCTATTATGAATAGCGACTCTCTTCTCCTATTTTGAATAGCGACCCTCTTCTCCTATTATGAATAGAGACCCTCTTCTCCTTTTATATATAGCGACCCTCTTCTCCTATTATGAATAGACACCCTCATTTCGTATAATGAAAGCGACCCTCTTCTCCTTTTATGAAGAGCGAACCTCATTCCGTATTATGAATAGCGACCCTCTTCTCCTATTATGAATAGCGACCCTCTTCTCCTATTATGAATAGCGAACTTCATTTCGTATTATGAAGAGTGACCCTCTTCTCCTATTATGAATAGCGACCCTCATTTCTTTTTATGAATAGCGACCCTCTTCTCCTATTATGAATAGCGACCCTCTTCTCCTATTATGAATAGCGACCCTCTTCTCCTATTATGAACAGCGACCCTCTTATCCAATTATGAATAGCGACCCTCTTCTCCTATTATGAATAGCGACCCTCTACTCCTATTATGAATAGCGACCCTCTTTTCCTATTATGAATAGCGACCCTCTTCTCCTATCATGAATAGCGAACCTCTTCTCCTATTATAAATAGCGACCCTCATTTCGTATTATGAATAGCGACCCATATTTCTTATTATGAATAGCGACCCTCATTTTGTATTATGAATAGCAACCCTCTTCTCCTGGACTCCTATTGAAGGGCAGGTAGATGTGCTTGCCAGAGGGCCACCTCACTTCACAACTGCTGCTCACTTACTGTGGAATAATTTAACCCACCGATATCTCTTCGTAACCGCCAATCTGTCAATACCTTCAAAAATTATCTCAAAACTCTCCTTTTCTGTTAGCAATATAACTGTTAAGCGCATTCGAACATTTATATGAAAAATGCGCTATATAAATACATTATTTATATTATTATTATTATTATTATTATTGTTATTATTATTATTATTATTATTATTATTATTATTATTATTATTGTTAGATTTATTAATATTATAATTATTATTATTATTCACGGTCAAAGGGGCCAGCTAGTTGATTATATACAATAATGGGAAACAGAAGGCTTCAGAAAGCTACAATTGGTCGCACATACATTCCTTGTTTTAACCTTTAGACAAAGTCCTTTCCATACAATCCCAAAATATTTCGAAGAAGCAACTCCTCAGCAGTTTCAATAGCATGTAGAAAATCATTGGATTACGTAATAACGTGGTGGACAAGGCTTTTGAAATTGCGTGTAATGTTTTGTTATGTTGTTGCTGTTCTTGTTAAAAGTCTTCCCAACATATTTTCCCTGTACACGGGTACTCGCCTCCTGAAACCACAGCTGTAATAAATGACTGAAACTGTGAGATTCGAGTGAAGACGCCGGGCAAGAGTGATCCTGCGCATCCTCCTTCAAATATTGTTGTTCCGACCAGATGCCATCGACCATCATCACCCTCACAGGTCAAAGGACCGCCCCTGTCTCCCTGATGTTTGTAATGATAAACACGAGACAGTGAATTTAATTGGATGACTTTCAAACTAAATCAAGTATTCTACGTAGGACCACACACATGTGCAGTTTTCGAAAAGGTACATGTATTTGGAACTTAGAAGTTTGATATATAAAGGGGTAGTTAAAGTATGCCCAATTTCTGAAACAAAGACAAAAAAGTTAAAAAATTGAAAATTACTGAGTGAAAAAGAACACCCTTGCAGTCAGTGTCACAGTTATAAGGGAAACGGGAGTAAAGCCCAAATAATAGTTCTAATGAAAATAAAATATGATGGGAGAGCAGAAAAGCAACTTGGGTAAAAGGTAATGACTCAATCCTATGCCCTTATTTCCTTCCATGCCGTCGAGTAGAGAGGTTTGACCGCTATACTGGGAATTCGAAGGTCATGGGTTTGACTCCCGGTACAGTACTGATGTCCTTTGATAAGGCCTTAATCTACATTTGCCACTCCATACCCAGGATTGAATGTGGACACTGTAGAGCACGAAGCCTGTGTGATAGTTAATGTTTAATACCCTCACGGTGACCATGCGGTAGAAATACTCCCCAGAGACTGGAGATGCTGCACATTTTACGTATGAATGAATCCGGTGTCCGGGATAATAATATCTTTAAAGCGCTTAGAAACGGTATTTTGTCTTTAGCACTATACATGTATAAATCTAGATTTGTCATTATTATTAGTAATAGTATTAGAAGTATAAGAAGTAGCAGTAGTTGTAGTAGTAGAAGCAGTAGTACATGTAGTAGTAGTAGTAGTAGAAGTAGAAGTAGTAGTAGCATTCTCTTTAATTAAAACCTCATAACAGTTGCCTTTTGTGTCCGATACCGCCGCCCCACGACACCTGTGCCCCCCCCCCCACATACCCATAGATAGCAGTTACCTGACAAGTATCAATTCCACCTGGTGCATATACAGCACATATCATTTCTTCTGCCAGAACCCCTTTGTAGGAAAGATTAGAATTGCACCAGTTCTGATCAGGAAGGTTCACCACTGCTTTTTTCATACTCAACGTCAACGCTGCGAAAGATTAAAGTAAATCATCGTTTACATCTTCTGTAAGAAAACGAATTTCAAGTAAAATTATCATCAAATTTTTGAAACCATTTAAAGAGTTATGGAAAGGTAGAGTGGTTTCAACACTGCTATTTAGCATGATTTTTCATTTTTTAACCATCCAATAAATACAGTATTTAATGATATTTGGGTAAATAGGGGTATCAAGTTAGGTGGATGAAATCATATTTGTTATGAATTTTGAGATCTACGTGAAGACGAACTACTGAAGGGCATCTTCAAAGCTTCCCTGTTTGAAAGAGGCCTTGTGGATATCACATTCCTTTCAATCAGATAACTTAGAGAATTTATTGGCTTACCCCTGTAGGAATTGAGCAACCTATATCAGCAACTAAATAGCGAAGCACAGTAGTGTTGTTGATTCAATTTCATTTCAATTCAATTGTTTCATTCATTGTAAGTATAAAATATATATATATATATATTCACAAATAAATACATAAAATACATCATGACTTAACCGGAGTAATGATATGAATAATACCTTAGTCTTAAACAGAATGAAAAGAAATGAATATGGGAAAACTTCCTAGGTCCTTGTATTAGGCAAGCCCTCCACGAGCATAATTTTCACAAGACTCGATAAATATGAAGGCAAAGAAGATCAAAATAATTAAACATATCAGAATCAACTTGCATACAGGAATCCAGTTTAAAACCAATAACATACACATCATGTTTGAAAAGACAGTCCGACAGTTTGAATTTCTTCCCGCTGCTCGTATTCTTAGACGAAGTATTTTATTTTCAGTCGCCTCTCTTGACCCAGGCGTGGTGAATGGGTACTGGTGTAATAGAGTAATATATACTCTGACTGACATGTACTGTAAGGTGATACCGGCACCCGTATAAAGCTGAAGAAATCGTATTGCATTTAAGGACACACACACGCACACACACACACTTCCTTTCTTTTGAAAGATTCGCTTTACAAAATGGGCAATGTTCTTTCCTTATCATTATTATAATCATTATCAAAGCCTCATCTGTTTCTGTCTTCAAAGTTTTTTTGAAGATGCACTTGTTTTCAGGATTAAAATGTTTATTTAATATTGTTTGTCTGTATAGTAGCACTGTTGGGAGTTTTGAATTCATTACAGAGCAGTCGAGTGGCTGCACTTTATAAATTAATCTAATTATTATCATCATTATCAAATATAAGTAAAACAGTACATACGTGGGCCTTGCAGTGTAGTTCCCCATCCAGCGACGAGGCAGCGACGATAGTCCTCGAGTTCATCCGGGGATTCCGACAGACACGCGGGTCTGACGTAGTCACTGAATGGCACCGGTTCAGCAAGTCGTATCAGAGCGATGTCGTTGATATACAAATAGGTGTCGTACTCAGGATGTTCGAAAATATCAGCCACCTCAACCGCTACCTCGTTGTCGGAGTCATCCGTCAAATGTGCGTTCCCAAAAACTACACGATCGACGTAGTAAGGACTTTAAATGATAGTAGATGTAAAATCAGTGATTTTCCAAGGGCGAAATATAATCATGTATATCAAAAGGACATCTCAATGGAGCTGCATTATTTGAGCATGATATATATTATATATTAACTGTAGTTTCATACATGTACATCAAGATTTCATTATATATAACAAACGTTGTATTTGCTATGTCTCTCAGGGGTTTCATGAATTAACTAGCTCTAATACATCGGACGTTATACGGTCATGTAAATGTAATTCTCTAAATTAAACATAATTCTGTAAGGACATTGAAATGAAATCCCGTCATCTGACAGTTATTTATTATCCTCTCGCCGACGAAGTCAGAGGGGATATAGTAACGCTGCAGTCCGTCTTTCCATCCTTCCGTAACAAATCTAGTTTACGATCGATAACTTTAGTAACTTTTGACGTATTTTAATGTAATTTGATATGAAGGTACATGGTATCAAAATACAGCCTCAAATCGACTCGGAGTATGTAGGTCAAAGGTCATAGCTCATTAAATATGCGAATCTGGTCTCCGTTCGATAACATTAGTAATGTTTGACGGATTTTAATCAAATTCGATATTCAATTAACTTAAATTCATTTATTTTTCCTCTTTCCATTTTTCATATTTTCAATGATGTTACATTTTTACATATCTACATATTAATATACATCATATAGCTCCGTTTAGTCTCTTTTCACAACGCCCCTATCGTCAGAGTCAGCAGCCTTAGATGTTAGACTATGGAATTTTACCCCCAAAAATCGTTAACAATTCTTTTTTTTTTTTTAAACGAAAAGCACATCCACCCCGACGTACGCTATCACTCGCTCTTTCATTGGAACCTTCATGTCCCATTGATTTTTGAAAGTTCATCCACCGTAATTTGATCAAAATAAGTTGCAAGCTCGTCATTGCCTATAATACACATGTGAAACAAGTCGAACTTTGGACTCAGTTTGCCAAGCGATTTTAAGATTATAGGTCAAGCACACGAATGATAGGAAGCATAAATTATCATAGATCACTTCTACTTGGTTCATTATGTCCATTTCATCCAACCCCTCACCGTCATTTTTTCCAATTTTATTAGTAAAAGCGAACATTTTGCCCAGTTAAGCAAAAACATGAATATTCATGAACGGTCAGACAATACAGCCTTTTAGTACGTAACATATAGTGAATGGGAATGGGCGATGATCCGTCCAGGAGTTAGAGGTCAGTGGTTTGTGCTGGCAATGTTCCAGTGAGCAAAAATGAGACAACCGAAGCAATATGATACATTAAGATCAATTTGCACAATACAATACATTTATTTTAAAAAAACATGATATTGAAAGGGAAGGAGGGCCGACTAAAAAGCAGAGCTAGGCCTATATGAAGGTACGTGATATCAAAATACGGCCTGAGATCGTTTTTGGAGTATTCAGGTAAAAAGTGAAAGGTCATAACTCATAAAATATGCGAAAATGCCTAATTATATATGCGAAAATGTGGTTAACTTCCTTGCCCAGTAATATAATAATATAGTCTAATGGAGGTAACTTGTTCTGACGTATTAGGCCATTTATACCCTGCGAGGGGATATGCTACGTTTTGCGTTGACTCGTTCTACCTATTTCATACATACATACAATTGCTTCTCATATAGCGCAAAGTTCAATAAAATATTGCTTAATGCCTTTTACATGATATTGTAATTGGGTTGATCTGTTCAAAGGAACGGATATATAATTGGGTGTACAGATATTGACTACTAGTGATACTTTATATGTATAATTTCATGACTACGATTATTTAGACGAAAACTCAGTGCATTATTTGTTTAGTTATAGTACATGCAATCTAGAGGTAAACACGTTCGCTTCTATATAAATTGTGAAGGTAAGTTGTCAATTTGCTTTCATTTCCACAGAGCAAACGAGTCTGATTTTATAGTGGCATCATACTTACACGCAGTGAGCGGCGGTAAGAACCCATTGAGAGTTGATCAGGGTAGACCCACACCAATGTCCTCCAAAATCCAATCCTTCGAGGCGGAGTGAACCAATCCAAGGGAATTCCCCTTGGCGTGCGTTGGTACCACCAAGAACCCTGTTTTGGTCTGATGCGTATGCAGGGCGTGTCCCGCATATGTTGGTACCAAAAATATCTGGGGGAGGGATAAAGTTGCAAGTCAGTGGCACAACGACAGGAAGGGAAGGGACATCCACCCAATTCGAATAGCACCCCTTTGCCTCCCCCAAAGCAAATGAAACAAAACAAAGCATAAATCAAAATAAAATGAAAAGAGGAGGGAAAAGGATGCCCGAAGAAGATGATAGACCACCTTTGAATACGCTCGAATCCACCTCCTTTTTGGATGCTGATTTTCATTTTTCTCTAAAAACCCACTTGGCAGTAAGATCAGTGCCGCCATCCCCATCTCATTAGTTGCACGCCACTGCCACATGTGATGAATTCAATAGAACATGCTGACATATTTTCTTCGGTTTTATGAACTATCATTTATAAACACTTAGTGCATCTAACACTGGATTCCAACATGTCAATGGAACCCCAAATCTCTAGCTGCATCCGATCAGCATGTTATCACATCAGGCACATTCGTCAAATCCGGGATTATCTGACTCCACATGCCACGAAGCAGGCAGTCCATGCACTCGTCACGTCACGATTGGACATGTACAATAGTACCCTGAATGGAGTGCCCGACACTCTCATCAAACGACTGCAGAAGGTCCAAAATTCTGCGGCTCGGCTTGTCACCCGATCAAAGTTATCTGATCATATAACCCCCGTTAACGAATATCTGCACTGGCTGCCTGTGAGGCAAAGACTCAAGTACAAGGTACTTTCCCTGGTTTTTAAAACCAAAACCAACCAGACATTACTATACTTGTCAGATCTACTGGAGGAGAAGAGATCCTCTAGACTTGGTCTACGTTCAGGAAATGTCCACCAGTTTCAGGAAGCTCGAACAAGGCGGTCTTGGGGCGACAGGTCCTTCTCTGTAGCAGCCCCGCGTTTGTGGAATGCACTCCCTTCATACATTAAACTAAGTAAAACAATTGAACTATTCCACAAGCATCTAAAGACCTACCTTATGAAGGAAAAATATGATTAACTCACATGGACATTTCAATGTCTTACTGAATCTGTAATTTGCATATTTTTTTTATTTGTTGATTTATTATTAGTTTGTTAATTTCAATTTGTTTATTGTTTGTATTTGAAATGTTAATAGTGAATCTTTTTTGTGCGCCTTGAGTGCCATTATAAGCAGATATGTGCGCTATACAAATCTTAAATTATTGTTATTATATATTATTATCTTATTAAGTCCAAGCATATTCTTAACTCAATATCATCTACATGAATATGGCTGCATGGTCTTTACCTCCCGCAGGGCCAAAACAGCTCCCATCTTCCTCCTGTTCATCGGTAAACATGGAACAGTTGACGGGCCAAGGGCGGTCGAGGAGTTGCTCAAAGGATGCCTTGCAGGCATCAGTGACTGCTAAACAGTCGGAGTAGCACACCCGATGGGTTGGGCCGTTATGGGTGCATTCCGGATAGTATATGGTGCACATGAAGGGGATCAGGTGATCATGGCACGATGATATAGTATCTGCCTATGGTAGGTCATTAGAAAGTATAAACTTTGAGGATTTCACGTCAGGATTTTAAAAGGAGGCAATTGCAACGTAGATGTGTATGGTACATCAACAACGTCAGTATAGCCAGCAGCTCTTGCAAGTGGTAGGGGGGGACCACGTGCCGACAAATATAACATAAATAATGTATTTTCAGACAAACAATAAATATTACATCAAAACAGATCTCCAACATATTTTCAGTCGTTACGTCTCTGAAAAATACATCCTTCTGTGTGATATCCCCTCGCAAAGAATCACTTTTACAAAAAAGAATTATTGAATGCGAATAAACAAATACCAAATTCATTGGTTGATATACAGGTCAATAATCGTAGTAAGACAATGTTCTACTAATGTTAACACTAATTAATTAACCGTTCCTGGCATTATCTATGAAAATCACCAATAATCTGGACAAACCGATCAGTAATAAAGAATCAACTCAACATTCCTTTATAAAGCAATTAAAAAGACATTCCGCTGCTTTACCATGTCTGTAAAGCCTCCCACTGCAGCGTCTGATGTCTCGGCGTTCCGATTCGGGAAAAAAGTCAAATTGTAGGCCAGGCTCTGTCTACATATATCTAAATGAACTTGTTCGCAGTACGCTGGGTAGTAGAAAAATCGATCAATGAAGGGTTAAAAACAGCGATAACATGTCAGAGAAATCAGGAAAGCAGACAACATATATGACACATTAACAGCAACAAAAAGGGCAATCAAAATAATTCAACCGCTGAAGGTCATGAAAGGCTTAATGTGTTTGGGGAACTGCTTAACAAAAACTCAGGGAAAAAAACTCTCTCTAAAGTAAAATCCGGAAGTATAGAAACTCCCTCAATATATAGAAATAACATAGAAATTCATAGACAGGTGTGCAATACAATTCAAGGAAATGTAAATTTCATGTAACTACATGTATAACGATGGGAATTAATTGAGAAGCAAATGTAAACGTTAAATCAAAACTTACGACAGTATTCCTCATCTGAGAAATCGAGACAGTCGTTATTTCCGTCACACCTTGCCGATTCGCTGATACACAGTCCACTAGAACATTGCATTTGACCGCTGCTGCATTCTGTCATGAAGTATTTAAAGCATCGAATTATAGATAATCTCAATTCTAGTAAAACAATTTGTTATAATTTGTTATAATAACAATGTAAGAAGAATAATAGCTACATTTATATTGCACACACATTCATCCCAGAGGAAGCTCAAGGCGCCTACAAAGTAATATTATAACCCTGGCTTTAGCCCAGTTGCCCTATTCAAAGGCGTTCAAAGTATTCAAGGAATAAATTTCTACAGGGATGCCATTTACTATGTCTGGGAGGATATTAACAAATGTATATTAATGTCTTGCCAAAGGACATTAGTGCCTTGCTGAGACTCGAAACGCAAACCCAGTGACGTATCCACAATACCACGACACCTCTTAAGAAGCAGAACCTATGGCTAATATTATCTTACCAGGGTTAAGTATAGCTGTGACACGAAGACTGAAGCCAATATCATCCCTTGAGACATCCGTGGTAAACCTGGCCCACATAGAGTGACCGGGTGTAGCGGGTTCACTGGAATAGTTATACCCAGTCAGTTTCTGAAGCTCCCAAGAACCAGGTTCATTGGGACCAGGCCCAGAACCAATGTACAAGTAGTCATTGTCCGTCTCTAGGGCCAGGTCCAGGATCTGTATCTGGAGGATGTGACCCACTGGAGCCGTGAGTACCCAAGTAAGGTCGAGGTTCGAGTCGTAGTAGAATGGATAGCCGGGTGAAGATATGACAGTGATTTCGCTCCATTCAAGTTCTATTACAGTGATGCTGGTATCTGTGCAATGAATTCATAATAATAATAATAATAATAATAATAATGATAATAATAATAATAATAATAATAATAATAATAACTAGAAATTTAATTCGTCATTAGGTGGTCTGTCTTCAAGTCTAATGATCAAGCTCATCTTCAATTCAATTGTCCAATATAATGATGTCAATGTTAAATGATGTATTAAGATATGAATTGATGAATGAAGTACTGATGAAAGGATGAACTGATAGATTGAACTGATGTGAAATGAACTGAATTGATGAGCTAAACTGATGAACTGATGAACTGATAGATTGAACTGTGACATGAACTGAAGTGATCACTTAACTGATGAACAAAATATCGAGAAATGATTATGATCATTGTGAAATTTAATGAAATAAGAAATGATGTACATATGAAACAAAGTAATGGGAAATTAACTCCTTGATGATCATGATGATGAATGAATGATGATGATGATGATGTGATGATCATACTGATAATGATCATGATCATGATAATGTTGATGATAATGATGATCATGATGACGATGGTCATGATGATGATGATGATGGTAATGATGATAACGATGATAATGACGATCATGATGATAATGATGATCATGAGCGTGATCCTGACATCTTAATGAAAAAATGAGGGGTGATTTAGATAGCATATAGTCTCAGCTACAACATACTCAAAAAGCAACAAAATCCAAGCAGAAAGAACGGGTATATTGCTCGCAAAAGATATGAATGTAGAATCCAGATTTGAGAAAAAGTCATCTCCCATAGGGATTACACGCAAAAAGTAATGAATCAAGTGGTAATAGGGTAATAATGAAGTAAATATGGTTGTTAATTCCATTATTTGCGATTCTACGTGTTTAAATATTCAAAGGAGATGGTACAGTGAAAGGTCAAAAGAAAAAAATGAAGAAAAAAATTGCTGGAGAAGCCCGGACTCGAACCAGGGGTGTCGAGGTCGGAAGTCAAGTGCGTTACCGATATACCAAAACATTTTCCATAGCGATTACATGTGAGCGGAAAATGGAATTATCAAATCACACATTGCAAGTAAAATATGAGCATGATCCCGGCATCTGAACGAAGAATTAAGGGCACACTTGTGATAGCTTTTTGTCTCAGCTACAAGATACCCGAAGCTCAGCGAAAACAAAGATAAAACGACGGAGATATTGCTCGTGAAAGACGGGAATGTAGAATCCAGTTTTGAGAAAAAGTCATGACCCTTAGAGAATACACGCAAAATGAGAAAAATTGACATATCTCCTTTAATCGCAAAAATACGCCATGATGCCTTTGTCAAAATGAAATATCGTGACAAAAATATTTGTAGAAAATATTCTCAGGTAGAACATATCAAAATTTGAAAGAAAATTGATCAATATTAAGAGAGATACTATCAATTTTCCAAAAATATGATGACGACATAATATGCAAATTGATATTTTGAGTTCGGAGGTCATTATGATGACGTCATGAGTTAATTGAGGGTCAAATGAGACATTAAATCATATTTCTGATTCATACTCAATCAAAATATGAAAAAAAATTGGGGTCACCTTGCATCCTAAAGAGCTACAATGGATTTTGCATAGGCATGTTTTTGCCCATATATGCTATGTATTACAAGAGCTCGCGCGCACGGAAATTTATGTTTAACGGTCGATCATTCCGTCATTAATAGTCATAAAGAGATAAACATGCTATCAATTTGTTTGTAAAAATATGTGGAATATTATAAAAGAAAAAAAATGGCGATTCTATGTTGTGCAATAGTTTTACGCGCGAAAACGCGCACGCTTTCGCGTGTGCGCGATTTTTTATAAAATGCTTAGAATGGCCTTAAACGTATGCAAAATGATTTTGAGACGATTTTGAGCATTTCAAAATTTTGCGCGCGCATTGACGCGCGGACGTACGCGCACGTGCGCGTTATTTGACCTGCCATTGACCGGACGGATATTGACCTTGATCATGATAAATATGAATGAGAAATAGCTTTTGGTTATGAAGATATGATCATGAGTTGTGTTTTGTAAAATTTTGCAAAATGGCGCCTAGATGACGTCATCAGTAAAGGTCAATGTTGAAAACATTATTGTGCTTTGTACATATGCCTATACATATGTGTGCCAAATTTGAAGGCATTTGATTGAGCCATTTTCAAGTAATCGTGCTTACAAAAAAGTGGTTCGAAATAAGAAAAATAAAGAACTAGATTTGTAATACTTGTTTGAAACAAGTATAGGTGGGCTAATCCAACAAAAAATTGAGGCAAAATGAAGGGTACATTTGAGATAGCTTTTTGTCTCAGCTACAACATACTCGAAGTTCAGCGTAAATGAAGCTAAAACGACGTAGAGATTGCTCGCGAAAGACGGGAATGTAGAATCAAGTTTTGAGAAAAAGTCATGTCCCATGGAGAATACACGCAAAATGTGAAAAATTGACATGCCTCCTTTAATCGCAAAAATACGCCATGATGCCTTTGTCAAAATGAAAAATTGTGGCAAATGGATTTGTAGAAAATTGTCTCAGCTAGAACATATCAAAATTTTGAAGAAAATCGATCAATTTTTACAAAGATACAATCAACTTTCCAAAAATATGCTGACGTCATAATAGTCAAATTGAAATTTTGAGTTCGGAGGCCATTATGATGACGTCATGACCTAATTGAGGGTCAAATGAGACATGAAATCATATCTCTGATTCATACTCAATCAAAATATGAAAAAAAATTGGGGTCACCTTGCATCCTAAAGAGCGACAATGGATTTGCATGTTTTTGCCCATATATGCTATGTATTACAAGAGCTCGCGCGCACGGAAATTTGTGTTTAACGGTCGATCATTCCGATATAAATAGTCATAAAGAGACAAACATGGTATCAATTTCTTTGTAAAATTATGTGGAATATTATGAAAGAAAAAAAATGGCGATTCTATGTTGTGAAAAAGTTTAACGCGCGCGCATGCGCGTGTGTGCGATTTTTTATAAAATGCTTAGAATGGCCTAAAACGTATACAAAATGATTTTGAGACGATTTTGAGCATTTCAAAATTTTACGCGCGCATTGACGCGCGGACGTACGCGCACGCGCGCGTTATTTGACCTGAAATTGACCGGAAGGATATTGACCTTGATCATGATAAATATAAATGAGAAATACTTTTTGGTTATGAAGATATGATCATGAATTGATTTTCGTAAAATTTTACAAAATGGCACCTAGATGACGTCATCAGTCAAGGTCAAGGTTGAAAAAAATTCTGTGCTTTGTACATATGCCTATACATATGTCTGCCAAATTTCAAGGCATTTCATCGAGCCATTTTTAAGTTATCTTGCTAACAAAAAAGTGGTTAGAAATAAGAAAAATATTTAATAACTAGACATATAATACTTGTTTGGAACAAGTATAGGTGGGCTGGTCAACTAAAATTTGAGACAAAATAGAGCAAAAATAAGCGACATACTGCTTACAAATTCTTAAAAAACAATATCATGTAGATTCATAACGTGAACTAAATTCACCTTCTATAGGCCTAACACGCAAATTATGAAGTTTTTGACATGAGGCCTTTAATCAAAATTTTTACTACGATGACGTCATCAAAATGAAAAATGATTATTACTGCGCTTGTAGAGAATTGTCTTAGCTACAACATATCGAAATTTTGAAGAAAATTGATCAATATTTACAGATATACAATCAATTTTACATAAATATGCTGACGTCATAATATGCAAGTTCGTATTTTGAGTTCCAAGGCCATTGTGATGATGTCACGATACACTTAATGGCCAAATGAGACATAGAATCATATTTTCGACTCATACTCTATCTAAATATGATGAAAAAATGAGGATCCCGGTGCATTCCAAAGAGCTATAATGGATTTTGTATAGGCATGTTTTTGCCCATATATGCTATGTATTAAAAGAGCTCGCGCGCACTGACATTTATCTTCAATTTACGCTCATCTTGTTAATAATGGTCATAAAGAGATAAACATGGTATCAAATTCCTTGAAAAAATATGAGAAATATCATGAAAGAAAAAAAAATGGCGATTCTATGTTTTGTAATGGTGTTACGCGCGAAAACGCGCGCGCATGCTCGTACGCGCGATTTTTTATAAAATGCTTAAAATGACCTGAAACGTATGCAAAATAAATTTGAGATGATTTCGAGCATTTAAAATTTTTGCGCGCGCACTGACGCGCGGACGTACGCGCACGCGCGCGTTTTTTGACCTGAAATTGACTGGACTGATATTGACCTTAATCATAATAAATATGAATGAGAAATACCTTTTGGTTATGAAGATATGATCATGAGTTTATTTTCAGAAAATTTCACAAAATGGCGCCTAGATGACGTCATCAGTCAAGGTCAAGGTTGAAAACCTTACTGTGTTTTTTCCATATGCCTATACATATGTGTGCCAAATTTCAAGTTATTTGATTTAGACAATTTCAAGTTATCTTGCTAACAAAAAAGTGGCGAGAATTAAGAAAAATAAATAAAGGCAATTTTAACAAAAATATAAGGTGGTCTGTATTAGATACAGCCCACCTGATAAATAATAAATAAATAAAGGCAATTCTAACGAAATTATAAGGTGGTCTGTACGTTATACAGCCCACCTGATAATAAATAAATAAAGGCAATTCTAACGAAATTATAAGGTGGTCTGTACGTTATACAGCCCACCTGATAATAAATAAAAGGCAATTCTAACGAAATTATAAGGTGCTATGTACGTTATACAGCCCACCTGATAAATAAATAAAGGCAATTCTAACGAAATTATAAGGTGGTCTGTACGTTATACAGCCCACCTTACTAGATTTGTAATACTTGTTTTGAACAAGTATAGGTGGGCTGTTTCAATTAAAATTTAAAGGGCACATTTGTGATAGCTTATTGTCTCAGCTTCAACATACTCGAAGCTCAGCAAAAACGAAGCTAAAACGACAGATATATTGCTCGCGAAAGACGGGAATAAAGAATCCAGTTTTGAGAAAAAGTCATGTCCCATAGAGAATACACGCAAAATGTGAAAAATTGACATGCCTCCTTTAATCGCAAAAATACGCCATGATGCCTTTGTCAAAATGAAGGATAATAGTGACTGCATTTGTAGAAATTGTCTCAGCTAGAACATATCAAAATTCGGAAGAAAATCTATCAATATTTACAGAGATACAATCAATTTTCCATAAATATGCTGACGTCATAATATGCAAATTGGAATTTTGAGTTCGGAGGCCATTTTGATGACGTCAGAAGTTAATTGAGGGTCAAATGAGACATGAAAAAATATCTCCGAATTTTACTCTATTAAAATATGAAACAAATTGGGGTCACCTTGCATCCTAAAGAGCTACAATGGATTTTGTATAGGCATGTTTTTGCCCATATATGCTATGTATTACAAGAGCTCGCGCGCACGGAAATTTTTGTTCAACGGTCGATCAATCCGTTATTTATAGTCATAAAGATACAAACGTGGTATCAATTTGTTGGTAAATGTATGTGAAATATTATGAAAGAAAAAAAAAGGCAATTCTATGTTGTGCAATATTTTTACGCGCGAAAACGCGCGCGCATGCGCGTGTGCGCGATTTTTTATAAAATGCTTAGAATGGCCTAAACGTATGAAAAATGATTTTGGGACGATTTTGAGCATTTCAAAATTTTGCGCGCGCATTGACGCGCGGACGTTTGCGTATCCGCGCGTTATTTGACCTGAAATTGACTGGACGGATATTGATCTTGATCATGATAAATATGAATGAGAAATAGCTTTTGGTTATGAAGATATGATCATGAGTTGATTTTCGTAAAATTTTACAAAATGGCACCTAGATGACGTCATCAGTGAAGGTCAATGTTGAAAACATTATTGTGCTTTGTACATATGCCTATACACATGTGTGCCAAATTTCAATGCATTTGATTGAGCCATTTTTAAGTTATCTTCC